GAGGAAGACTGGCCCTGGGCTAACATCCATGCCCATCTTCCTCCACTTTATATGGGACGCCGCCACAGCATGGCTTAACAAGCGGTGCGTCGGTGTACCTGGGATCCGAACCGGCGAACCCCGGGCCGCCGCAGCGGAACGTGCGCACTTAACCGCTTGCGCCACCGGGCTGGCCCCTCAGAACCACTTTGAAAAAGACTTTGCAGTATAATGACTCAAGGAAGTGTTTGAGTTGTTCTCTCTCTTAGTAGAAAATTCTGTATTGTTTCCCGTAGATATAAAACTCTGTATTAAGTGCTATTAAACATTTAAATTAAAATAATTCAGAAAAGTTTTAAAACTATAAATTAGGGTGTTTAGGTTGTGGGTCACTTTTTAAAATTATACTTTTGCCTAATACATATGCTGAGAAATGACTTTTTTTAAATGTTATTTTTTCATATATTCAAATATAATCACAAATACAATGTAGACCTCTGCATATAAATGAGAATGCATTGCCTTATCATAAGCATGAGTTAGATTAATGCTTAGGAGATGGATCGCACAAGTGAGAAATGGAAGCATTCTAAGAATTCACTTGGTAGAATGACCGATTTTGTCCAGTGTAGCAATTGGAAGCATGCATAGCTGTTTTCAAAGAATTTGAATATTATGAATCTGCTTGCCTGAGGAAAATGTTTTACCGGGCTTAATTTTCTTCATACTTTATGATAAGGAATATTGCAAAGAAGAGTCCTGCTGTATCCTAAACATCTTAAGTGCTTAGAAGAATAAAAAAGGAAAAGATTTTGATCTTGGCATTTTTAGCATTTCCTTAGCATTATGATTTTCAGGAACAATATCTATTTCTGAGTTCCTATCCGTGATTGTGATTCCCACCCAATTCTGAGCCTTTGTGCACCTTATACTCCCTTTGCTATGCATCCATGATTCTGTGGGTTGGTGATCTGTTTAAGCTTCCAAGTTACTGAAATTTGTAAAACAAGTTATAAATACAAAAGAGATGCCCGTAGAGTGGTTAATAATAGGAAAAGAGTATCCTTGGTCTAGCATCATTTCTTAAAGAAAAGACAATTTTAAATGGTCAGGAAATTCCACATGGCAGCACCACACGTGGCATTCTGTGCCCTGTGCATCCCCGACGAGGACTTCCTAACTGTTTTCCCTCCCAGAGCATGTAGCTCCTTTGTTTGGCTTGAAGAACCCAGATCAAAAATATGAATATTTCTTCAGAATATGTCTTACAAAGAAGTATTGATTAACCGAAGTTAGTTTGTTTTTTTTTTTTTTGCTGTGGTTTTTATTTTTTACTGTTCCATTTTAAGAAACACTATTTTCTACTTTTCAAAGCTGACATGCACCTTAATTTTTACCCCTAACTTTAATGTTCTGGTTCTCTATAAATATTCATAATGAACCCATATTGCTTTTGGTGAGTTCGATGGGTAATTAACTTACCTGCTGGTTTATTTTGTGGCCCCAAAACCTTTTGAAAGGGTTAGGGGAGAGGAATAATGATAAAAGTCTATAAGGTAATTAAGATATCCCTAATATGCTTCTCAGTCACATTAGGAGATGAAAATAATTTTGGCCTGCTTTATTTCCATCATTGCCAACCATTAGTTGTTTACTAACTGATCAGCAACAATAGATATACAAATACTATGTAAGTGCCGCATAGCAGAATTACTGACTGGCTGCGATATGCTAGTTCAGCTTTGACTTCTGGCTCTTGTGGAGACTTCATTTTGTTCCTAAGATTTACATTTATGGGGAGAGCTGATTTAAAAGTATGCTCTGAATGCTTATAAAAATATGCGATGACTTTGAAAACATGGATTTCTTTAGCCTAGAGGAGAGACTGGTTTTATAGTGAATACATTGTATATTTTACTTAATGTATGAACAATGGACTAACTTTTTTAAGTAACAAGGACACTGATAAACAGCTCATTCAGTACCAGTCATTATGTTCTTTTGATGTTGCTTTAGGATATTACTTGCACAGAAATATTTTGCCAAAATGAAATTATTTCTTTTTCAAAGTTACACCTTTGGGCTTTGCTATCTTTCAGGTTTTGCTCGGAATCTGTCAGAAGGCAATAATGCCAATTATACAGAGTATGTGGCCACCAGGTGGTATCGGTCCCCAGAACTCTTACTTGGGTGAGTTGCCTTCCCCAAATAGAATGACGTCTACATATCTGCTGATCCTATATCATTAGCTTTGAGACCATCTATGGAAGATAAGAACTTCAGTTCATTAAATGCCAATTACCTATTGTAGTGTAACAAACTACCTAAAAACTTAATGACATAAAACAAGCACCATTTTATTTGCCATGATTTGGGGTGCCAGCAATTGGGGGGAGTCAGCAATTCGAGTTCAACTGGACGATTCTTCTGCTGGTCTCACTTGGAGTCGCTCATGTAGCTATAGTCAGTCAGCAGGTCATCTGGAGGCTGGTTGGTTTAGGGGGTCTCAGCTGGAACAGACCATCTCTGTTCCATGGGGACTCATCCTCCAGTAGGCTAGTCCAAGTTTCTTCATATGATAGCAGAAGAATTGCCTGAGCAAGAGGGCAAGCCCCAAAGCAAAGGTGGTTTTCAAGCCTCTGTTTGCATGACTTTTGCCTCATTGGCCAAAGCATGTTGTTTGGCTAAGCCCTGATCCAAGGGATAGAGAAATAAATTCCACCTCTTGATGGGTGGAGTGGCAGGTGTACAGAAATGGGAGGAATTATTGCTGCCGTCTTTGCTAATAATCTTCCACATTAAGAATGTGGATATCCACAGAATTTCACATTATGGCTCATCTGTTTGTTAATTCATTCATTCAGCAATTACTTACAGAGTATCTCTTATGTTCAGCCACTTGGCTAGACACATGGTGTAAATATTGAACCAATTGCCATTCTTTTTCTGAACAATGTAAATCCCCTTTGATGATAAATGGCTATTCAAACTAGCACTGCATTGATATTTTCCTCAGCAATACCTCCATGTCCATCCACTTTGTGCCCATCCTTCCACTTTCAATGCTGTTTCATTCATCTGTCAACACCAGAAAAGAGTCTTCTGATAAGGTTCTTCTTTTTAATACGTTTTAACTTTAGAGCCTAAGAAGGAGCCTGTAGTCTTGACTTCCATCATTGTTTCATTAACAATTCTCTACCTACCCTAGTTGTATTTTCTTATTTTCCCTAGATTGTATTTCCTTCTTTGGGACCATCTAAGGATGGAGAAAGAAGGCACACTCTACAAATAATTTTAGATAAATTATGGTGGTAGTGATGACCAGTGCGTTTCATGTCTTTTCTTTAGTTTGCCATACATGTATCTGGGAGACATGAGAAATTTAATTTTTAAAAGATACTTTTTATATAATAGAAATATAAATTTCTGTATTTCTTCTGAAGGTCATGATGACTATATGTTTAAGTTACTCACTGAGGGTTTATTTTTATGTTAGCAATTGATTTCCTAGTGTCTACCAACCATTTGGTGGTAATCCCTGATTCATTGCTGACCTAGCCTGTAAGAATTATTGGTGTCAGTTATTGAAAGCTTTGCTGTTTTTTTGAAATCAAAAGCTTGCACTTTATCCTGGGAAACAAATGTTGGTTAGTCACTTCATTATTTCTCTTTGTGTGGATAGATTTTAGAATTTCTATGCTCATTTTTAAACTTGGATTTAGGATTGATTTTCTTTCTGTGATTCTTCTGTGTACCTCTTTTTAGATTCACTGTGATGCATAGTCCATTTTCTTTTGGGAGGGATTGGAATTTGAGTTTGGATAAATACTGGACAGTATTTGCCAAAGAAGAAATGAGTATGAAGTAGATCATTCTTAGAACCCCATCTGAGAATTCAAGTATGGTAGAAAGACTTGTTATAATATGGTTTTGTCTATAAGATGGCCCCAAGGAGTTAATTCTGAGAACAACCTTATTGTGAAACTTCAGAGAGTATTTGCTGCCTAATAATAGCTATCAGAAAATGGAAATTATGTTGAGAGATATGTGGGAGCTACCAAAGTAGATGGGGACTCCAACTAATTTGAGCCAAATTGAATATTGCCAATTAAACGGTTGTCAAGTACTAGTTGAAGAACCATATTATTTGTGTAAAAATCCCATTGAAATCAGTTGATATTTGATTAACATTAAAAATTTACATTTTTGTACTTCTCAAGACTGTCCTTGACATTACAAATAGTTCCAGCTGCATAAATTATTCAAATCAGTTGACAGAAGAAAAATAGCTTGTAGTGGGTATGTGGAGATTTTCCATAGGTTTTTCCATCTAGCACTTTTCTCTCTCTCATACTTGGGTGAAAGAAAGATCAGTATCCTTCCCTCCCCAACAAGCTACCAAAAAAATTTAAATGAAGTTTCCTAATATGATCCTTAGGTTTTTGTGGGAAGGAAATGAGATAAATAAAATATTGACTTATTGTTACAATGATTTATTATCCTAGAAACATATTCTGTATTATATTAATAATGCTTTACAGTATTTGTTAAAAGTTTTATATTACTACTATATCATTATGGCATTCTAGAATTTCATCCCATATATTTTTCAAGTATTTTATTTTGGCTTTTCCTTCTCAAAGTTTAGATTATTTGTGTTTGAAACTAAAGAAAATATGGTTTCTTAATCTACGGTATATAATTTGACTTAAGGCTATAGATATTGGGGTATACATAATTTGACTTAAGGCTATAGATATTGGGGTATACATATAAAGCTTTTTGGAGGATACCTAGATTTTTGTGTATAGCCTCCATTTATTAATAACAGTAACATTCCTAAAGCCCTCTGGTAAACTCAGATCCTAGAAGAGAGCTATAAACCCCTAAGTAAATGGAAAAATGGTTAGAGGGAAATAGCTGTCATAAAGCCCCATATACGTAGGGTACAAATAGATTCAGGTAAATAATCCAATAGAGTTTAGCACAATCTTAGCTATTACAAATTGTGACTCTGTGCAGTCAGAGGTTAAATAATATTCAGTGTTCGTTTAAGAAGACACATAAGTCAGTAGTACATTTTAATAGACCGAATTCAAAAATGGATAAGATGTAACTTGTTGACCTGTAGAGAGCTTAAAGGATAATTACCTAGAAAATACATTTCCTGGGAGCATTTCATTCCCCAAGTGAGGTGTTAACTCATCAGATGTTTGTGCTGTATTAGGGTTTTTTAAGCCATTCATGTTCAAAATATGCCTGGATGTGAATAGATTTCAAATCAGTGTATATTAACTAAATTGTTATTAGTTTATTAACTATAATAAACTATTATGGGTTTATTAGCATAGATTTATTCACTTGTGTTCTGAATTTTTACTTGGATATCCATAATTCCTTTTTTTCAACTTCACTTTTGTCCACATGGCACTTTTTAATTCCTTAAATACACAAATGTGTTTTAAATCATGAATCTGTTAAAAATAATTTGGAAATTATTAAAACATGTTTCTTCAGTTGCCAAGATAATCTCTCCCTTTGTTTTTCAGAGCTCCCTATGGAAAGTCCGTAGATATGTGGTCAGTGGGCTGTATTCTTGGGGAGCTTAGTGATGGACAGCCTTTATTTCCTGGAGAAAGTGAAATTGACCAACTTTTTACTATCCAGAAGGTGCTAGGACCACTTCCATCTGAGCAGATGAAACTCTTCTACAGTAATCCTCGCTTCCACGGGCTCCGGGTAAGAGGCTTTGCGAAAACTCAAAATGGAATCAATACAGCAGTATTTAAATAATTGTTCATTGCACAATGGAATGCTAAGCTATCCATCAAATACTATTCCCTTTCCCATTACAATGTTTATAATCCCTGTTATAATATTTTATTTTTGAATCGTATATAGTATTTGTGAATTTTAAAAAGTGATCTGAATTTGAAAATGGGAACTGCTAACGTTTTTCCTAATTTTTAAATTCCAATTTTTCAAAATCTTTTCTAGCATATGCATTATTATATTCTAAACTTTGATTACCTCAGAATGTTTCTTTATCCAAAATATTAAGCATCCCCCAAAAATACAAAAATGTGTGAATGGCTGTTGCTTATTTGACCAAACATATTTGTAGTGATTTGAGGAAGACTGTGAATACTTGCATTCGCAGATTTAAAGGTGCTGTTCTAGCAGGTATTTCTTGTCCATTGACAGTGAAACATCAAATCTTCTTTTCAAACTAATGTATTGTCTTGGGCAGCCTTTCCTAAACTTGCTAACTTTGTACAAAACTTATTTTCTGAGAATATGCTAAAAAGGATCTTCAAGTATAAACCTTCCCCAAATGAGGGACAACCAGCTTGCAGAGGCACCTTATTGGAGTGGCCAGTTATAGGCTGCTTCTCTCTTCCATCTACCCCAAAAGCTACTTTTTGGTTTTCAACTACCCTGTTTGGGCCAACATGCCAATTGGTGGCCATTGTGGGAACTATAAAATAAACTCACCACTTCCTTTCTTTCTCTTAAATGCATAATTCTCCAACCATGTTTTCTTGACATGTGCTAAGCACTTTGGTTATTTCTTTGACTTTCTGGACCTCGGTTCATTTCACTTTGAAGAGCACGCCTCCTCACACATGAGTGCCTAACACACTAACCGCTCCTGCTAGGCTCAGTGAGTCTGGAAGAAATGAATGAACAGAAGTGCAAACAGTTTCTCTTTCATCTTCTTCCTGCTTTCTCTCTCTTCCAAATCATGTGAGTTACCCAGGCAAGTTTCTCTTTTCTCCTTTTACTTTTGCCTTTGTAAGCCAAAAATTAGCTAAATTATGACCATTAATTAGAGTGCAAATGGTTCAGCAGTTATTGAGCATTTGTCATACTAGATGCTGAATATAGGACATTAAATAGGACTTGCCCTCAGTCTAGCAGAAAGAAAAATCAATTCTATTCAGAAATGAAGTTAGTCATAATTAATGAATTCCTGTTTTACTGAGACTATATCCAAACTCCTTCCCATCAGACCTTGCCTGTTTTGGGCTCTCTAGCTCCCTGGCCTCAGCTCATACCTCTCTCCATTCCCCTCTCACTCTAAATTCTCACCACACTTGCCTTCCTTTTTCTTTGACTTCTATAAACATTCCAAGGTTTTTCCAGCTTCATGAATTTGGGACTTGTGGCTTCTTCTCCTGGGAAGGCACTTTCCTTGCGTGGCCCCTTCTCATTTTGTAAATCTCAGCTCCAAGAGTGCCCCCTCTTTCTGCCCTCCCAAGATACTGCCCCCACCTCCTTCTTGGTCTCTCTCATAGCACTCTTCTTTTTCCCATCATAACACTTATCATAGTATGTAATTATTTTGTTTATTTACTTGTTAATTATTAACTGTTGGAAGTCATCTGTTTTCTCAATGTATTTCCAGCATCTAACACAGAGCCCAGCATGTCTAGTTAGGGACTCAATGAATATTTGAATAATCGCTTGAACCAATCTGTGTTGTCAGTACTCAAGCGCAACCATATTTCCCTTCTCTCCATCTCTAATGCTTCTTTCACTCTTATCACCTTTTACCTGAACTATTGACAACTGCTCCCATATTGATCTCTCCAACTTGCTTTCTTCACTTCAGTCTTTTCGCATTGTTTTTAGAATGATAGGCGCAAACTGCACATTTAGTTCAATCTCCTTTGTGTTTAAGAGCCTCTACAGGATTGCTGATTAAGTTTAAACTCCTTAGGGTAGCATTGAAAACCACTTGCTCCTAGCCCTCCAGCCATTTCTCCCACCGTTTCTCACCCCGTGCCCCCTATTCTGCAGCCACATTGAACTTCTTCCCGTTTCCTTGACATGTTGCTTCTACAGTGCTACATGTTTACTTCTACAATTCTCCTAGTACTCACCTTGCTTCCCGGAAAGCTCTTCCTCCTCCCTCCCCCAGGCTCAGGTCAAATGTCCGCCCTCCATGAAGCCCTTCTAGACTCCTCCAGGGGGAATGGGTGACTCCCCCTTCTGTGCTCCTATAGCACTCTGGTCATACCTCTTTTGTAGCACTCATTGCAGTCTCTTTTAAATAGCTGTTTGCAAGTATGTATCCTCACTGGACTAATGAATTTCCTGAAGAAATGAACAACCATGTTCGCCATTACGTTCACAACACACCTAGAATAGTGCCTGTAAGGTTGAATAGTGTTCAATGATTGAATATTTGACCTGGAACATCAAGCTTGGTCTGCTGGCTGCCTTGTTCTTTGCCTGGGTAAAGAGGCTCTAGGCTGGATTTTCTGAAGAGAGTGTAAACAGATCTGCCGTGGTACCTGGCCTTAATAACTTACAAGCTAGCTGAAGAATTAAGACTTTTACACTTGAAATAATTAGAAAACAATACAATTTATAAGAAAGTGTGGTATATAATAAAGTACTGCATTCTTTATTACATTGTACTCTTTTTAATACATCGCCATATATTGAGACCATAAGAGTGTTCTGGAAAGTTAGAAATCATGGTTGGCTGGATTCAAAGAAAGATTTATGGAGGATTTGAAATTTGAAATGAAGATTGAAGAATGAGTAGCATTTGAATTAGATAGGCCACACGAAGGCTATCTTTTCCTCATTTGTCTCTGGTCATGTTTGTTCACAGACGTCCTCACTAAACAGTATTATCTGTAAAATGCTAGACAGCACATGATGATGCTGCTTATAAATATCCTTCAGAGAAATTGCTGTTTCCATGACACTTTAATTTTCAGAAACCTTAATATTTTTACATTTTAGTCTGAAAGTGTTTGTGGTATCTTAACTAAATGAGTTTAACCTTTTTGGAGGTTTAACAACGTCTTTTGAGGGAAATGTCTTCTTTTATCATTTTACTGGAGAATGTCTGTGACAGCTAAGCATATGGGGTGTGTGAACTGCAACTGCCGTGAAACATGGACTCGCCAGTAACCAGTCCACGGTTATTTGCATTTTGATTCGGTTGTGTACAGATTGGAAAATCAACAAGATGTTGCTCTAATGGTATGCATTGCTTTGAAAAAGTAACAATTGCTATCCCAGAGTATAGGGCATAGACTCTGGAGTTAGACTGCTGGGGTTCAAAGCCTGACTCCATATTTACTACACGATTGACCTTGGACAAGTTTCTTGTGCCTCTGTTTCTTCGTGTGTGAAATGATGATAACAGATAGCACCTGATGGGGTTGTTGTGTAGATGAAATGTTATAATATACATAAAATGCCCAGACCAGTGCCTGACGCATAGTGACTGCTGGGTTAAAGAGGCACTGTCATTGTAGTGTATTGGCCAAGTGCTTAAGAAAGAAAGAAAGGAAACAAACAAACAAACTACTGATTGGGATATACTTTAAACTTCTATGCTTGGGTTTTGGTTATTTGTTGAATTATCTCGTAGCAGAATGGTGGCTTTCATTCAAAAGCACACAAATTAACTTTTTTTAAGTTAGGAGTTTGCTTGGTCATTTTTTATCATACTATTTCTAATACCTTTTGACTTTCAGCATTAATTTTTTTATCAATGAAATATTACTTCTGAAAATAAAAGGAGGGGTTATCTGGTAGCATAAGATAGACCTCATAAGGAAAATATTAATTAAAATGTGCCGGTATGGAGTTTGTTTTCACAGCGTGACAGGTGTCTCTCTCTTTGGGCTGATATTTAATGTTCCAACAACATCCAAAGGAACCTCTCTACCTCTCAGGAGACGCAACTGGGTTTAGAAAGAGTGTGCGTTTAGATCACAGACCTGGGTGCAAATACTAGTTCTACTGCTTTTTAATTATGTAACTTACCTTGAACCACTTATTTGAACTTTCTGATCGTCACCTTCCTCATCTCTAAAATAAGACGAATAATTGCTAAAATGCCTCACATAGCATCACTTCCCTCAGAAATCAGTTTTAGATTATTGCCTGTGTCTGTGTTAAGTTCATGTTATTCCTTCTGCTTTCTCTATCTAGAAGGTGCTGTCCTACTTTTCTGTGTCCTCACATTTTTCTTACCTTTCAAAATCTAGTTCAAATATTATCTATGGATTCCTTCTTCTACAGCTGCAAACCACCTTGGTATCTCCTTTCTCTGAGCTTTGATTAGAATTTGCAGCTGCACCGTTTAGTTCTGATTGCTTTCCCAACCAGACTGCAGATTGCTTCAGTGTGAGGTTTAGATCTTACCCATATTATATGTCTCCTGCCGTACCTAGCACAGTGTGGGGATGATGTCATAATCTCTCCTTAGATACCTCGGTTGAATTTTCCTCCATAGCTAGTCCTCCCATCCACTTATTTAGCATCTTCAGGGATTTCAGTACTTTGAAATGGTGTCACGTTGGTATAAAGGAAATATATATTTAAAGCAACGTAGCCCTCCCATTGAGGGGGAATGCGTGGCACTGGACTCTAATACTTTACCATCTACTTAGATATTGCAAAATGTGAATTGGCAGAGGGAAGGACAGAGCTTCTAAATAAACCTGACCTCTTCCCTTCATTTTATTTAAAAATGTCTTTGTTAATTTAGGAGCCTATTTGCCTTCTGTTCCAACTTACATAAATGAAGGAACTGAAAACAGGTCAATAAAAGAGTATATTAAAAGCAATAATAGAGCGTGTGTCTGAATTCGCTATTTCTACTTCTCTGGCCTTTCAGGTACTGGCCTCTCTCCCTTTTTTTTTTCACTTCTCTAATTTTCAGAAGTAAATATGTTATTGTGAAAAAGGCTTAAGAATTGTCTGTATAAGCAGACATATTCTGTTTAAACTATTATAACTGGATTGTCTATATAGGTAGACAATTCTGTGTAAACTGTACAAATTGAGTTTCAAATTTTTATATTTTGGTTTGTTTTATGTGCTTCAGTATTGTCTGACTAGATTGAATTATCATCTTTCACATGTGAGTTTTCCTGTTATTTAATACCCAGTCCTATTAATCCATACTTCAAATATATAGACACCAAAGGTAATACACATATGGAATAAATTTGACTTGGATTGGCACTAGGGCAATAACTTCTAGTCATCTGCTACCTTCTTCTGCACTCACAGCACATGCACACAAACACCCTTCCCCGTGTGCTAACGCTTCTCTCACGTTGTTCTTGCAGTTTCCAGCTGTTAACCATCCTCAGTCATTGGAGAGAAGATACCTTGGAATTTTAAATAGCGTTTTACTTGACTTAATGAAGGTGGGACAAGTTGATGTTGTCTGTATAAAATGTCTTTTGGGTTGTGGGTTTTCTTGTGTCTACATATGACCATAGCCTGCTTTTATGAATAAAATGTTTTCTTAATAGATGTATAATGGTGAATAATGGGGGACTGTGTCATGTTAAAAGGCATGTAATTTATTTAAAATCGCAGCAGTATCTGGTATTGTAACATTTCATCTAGATAGGACCATGAGATACCTAAATTATGTTCTTAAAATGGACAGAATAATAACAATCTAAATATAAATAATAAGAATGAAATAAAAAAATTTATTCAGCATTTGAGCTGCTCAGGCATAACGTTTTAAAACAAATCTGAAAATGAATGTTGAAAGAAAAGAGATTCTAACATTTTTTATTTAAGGCCTCTCATAAGATTATTTTTATCAGTGAACCTAATTCTGCCCTTTTTCTAACTTGGCCTCTTCTCTCCGAGACAGATGGGCTCTTTCTGGCTCTTCTCACACAGCAGGAGCACTGCTGCTGGCATGCCTGAGCGTTCCTCCTTGTGCTAGTGCCCCCATCCCGGTCTTCCCGCTCTGGACTACTGAAAACATTCTCATCATTTCTCTTCAAGTTTTTCTTTCCCAGTAGATAGTCAGCCCCTTGAGTGAGAACTATTTTTTCATATTTCTCCAGCTTTCATTGTCGCCAGCCAGTGCATAAGCAAGTGCTGGTTGTTTGATAGTAGACCTTCAAAAACCACTTGTTAATGAATCAATTTTATTTTCTGCCCAGTCAACCCGTGAAAATCAGAGAGGTTACACTGTGCACAGAGCCTTTAAAGGTGTACTTAGCACAGTTGGAATTTGCTGAGCAACACTCTCAGAACTTTGCTGTGCTTTAAACTATGTTAATCTGTGTTCCAAGGAACACTGTGTAAATAGGTGTGGGGGCAGAGGTGGGCGAGGGAGGCGTGGCCTTTGGGAAAGGCCACATACCACATAACCTCTTGTAGAGATTCACAATATTCATTAACCTATAACGGCTTTCAGAAATCCCACAGTAAAGAAGCATTTCTGTCACATCCAACACTTCCCAAATTTAAATACTGAATGCTTTTTTTTTTTTTTTAAATAAAACTCTACAGCACTAGTGTTCTTCTGAACACAGATTGAGAGATGCTATTAAAAAAAGAACCCTCAAGGCTCTTTCAGGTTAATTAGGCATAAATTATCTTTTAAATCAGTTGGGTTTTGTCAATATGTTCTTTCACACAATCAATATTTATTTATCAGGGCCTTAATTATGTGGTAACTTTTAAAATGTAAATAGAATAAAGTAGGAGAACTGAATTAAATATAATTTCATGTTTTCTGCTTTCTGTCTTTTTTTAGTTAAAAATAATTGAACTTTGGGGCTGGCCTGGTGGTGTAGTGGTTAAGTTCACACACTCCACTTCAGCAGCCCAGGGTTTGTGGGTTCAGATCTGGGGCACAAACCTACATACCGCTCATCAAGCCATGCTGTGGCAGCATCCCACATACAAAATAGAGGAAGATTGGCACAGATGTTAGCTCATGGACAATCTTCCTCAGCAAAAAAATAATAAATAATTTAATTATTATTTACCAAATGTAAATTATTATCAAATGTAATTACCAAACATCAGTGTGATACCTGGTAAAATCTAGCCGAGATAAAAGTACAAAGGTAACCTGAATCTTTCTGCATTTATACCATTTTGGAAGTTATACAGTCTAATTCCTATTCATTTAATATATTTACCCTTAAATTTCTTTAACATTAAGTGAACGTTTTCATTGAAATGTATATTCATAAGGTATAAAAATTATGTGTACATCTCAGTTAATTTTTATAATGTAAACATATCTATGTAACCCCACCCAAACTGAGATAGAATTATTAACACCCCAGAAGTCTCCTCACGACCCCCTCCCAGGCTCTACACCCCTGCTGGTCCCCACTCCTGGGAACCACGAGTCTGACTTCTATCACCAAAGATTAATATTGCCTTGTTATTATTGTTATATAAATAGAATTATTCCTTTTGTCTTTTAGCTATTTTTGAAAATGAATTTGAAAAATAAATAACACCATTTATCCTGTCATGAAGAAATATATTCTCTATGCCGTTCCCTAAGGCAGATTTGATAATTCTGTCTGTATATAAGTACCTGAAATGGCCATCTCATCTTGCATCTGTTTATACATATCAGCCATTTTAGTAGGGATACAAGTCACCAGAATTAATCAAAGCCCCTAATAACTTAAAGAACACCTACAATAATTATATGGGCTCTGTTTTAGTAAAAAAACAAAACAAAGCAAAACAATAATAATGTTGTTTTTTCCCCCCGTGTACTGAATTTTGAAACTGTTTACTCAGTAAGTTCTATACTTTCCTCATAATGACTTCATCTTTCCAAGTAATTTGAAAATTAACAGCTGTATTCATAAATATAGAAATAGTTCTTTGGGTGTGTGTGCAGTAACATTTTAAGTTAAAATAGCTTGTTAATGCTAGTAGATATTTGGCTTCTGAAAGGTCATATGTACTTCTAATTGAAAATACTACTCAGGGGCCGACTTTCCTTTGTTTTTAACTAGTATTGAAACCATTTTGATGATAACTCTTTTAACTGCCAGTGAGACCAAAAGCATTTTATATACCTCTATAGTTTTTATTTTTTAGTAAGAAGAAAGAATTGGGATGCTTTTAGAGGTGTCTGAGTCAACATGAGTGTAAATGTGCTTGCATGTAAGCAGTGGCTTGGATTACCGGAATCTTTTGATCCAAAGTGAATGTTTCAGTATCTGATAGGATCAGAATTCATATTTTCTGTGGCGCTGGGTTGAAGGTGGTTATCTGAAACTGACTTCTGGCTTATTGGGAGCAAATCTAGGTGTGCTTTTGCTGTTCAACAGTGGATCACAAAGAAATTAACTGTGGGCAAAACCAATGAAAGTGAGCTCGAGATGCATTTGGGAATGCTGGAATTTCACCCTTCTTCCTTTCTCTGAGAGAGAATGCCCATCACTCAAAAAGCAAATTTCAGTGTGATCTATAGAGATGTGTTAGGTTATATAGGTTATATTTCTTTATATATTTGCTTAATTTTTCAATAAAAATCAATTAGTGTTAATAATGAGTCACCTTTTAAAATCTTGTCCAATTACTAATAAGATTAATATTAGAAGAAAACATTTTAGTTGTAAAAAAATCTAATATGTGCAACATAAAAGGAGTAGTACCTTAAAGAATAAAGGACACTTACAAATAAATTAACACAGATACACAAATAGAAAAATAAGAAAAGAAAGAATATAAGCAACCAAAAAACATGATTTACCTCACTAGTAATCAAAGACATGAGTTAAAACAGCTGTGAGATACCATTTTTTAAATAATTTATAAATGCTAAAAAGGATGATAATGCCTATTGTTGATGAGGGTGCCAGGAAACTGGTAGACTCTCAATTGCTGAGAGGAGTATCATTTGGAACAACCGTCCTAAGGGGTAATTTGGCAACACATAGAAAATAATCCTTAAAAGTTTGCATGCCTACCAGTTCCATCTCTAGGAGTTTATCCTATGAAAGGGACCATGGATATACTCAAAGATTTCAGATGTTCATCACAGCATTAATTATAATAGTGAAAAGTGGTAGCCATCTAAATGTCCAACAGTAAGAGACTGGTTTAATAGTATATCCCTACCACAAACTTCTACATAGTCATTTAGAAACATGTTGTAAAGTTATTTGTTACAGCACTGTTCATAATAATAAAAGAAGGGAAACAAATGAAATGTTTATCATTAGGGAATTGCTAAAAACAACCTACGATACATCCATAGAGTTGAAGCTCTTTACTAATATGGAATGATCTCTTACGATCTAATGTCCAGTGAAAAGAAAGCTAAGTGCAGGCCATTGTGTGTATGCTACTGTCTGGGTAAGATAAAAGCAGATGGAGATGTGTACAGAGTATCTATGGAAAGATGTACAAGAAACTGGTAACATGGGCCTCCAGAGAGGGGGACAGGAGAAAGATGAAGAATGTATATTCTTTCATGTGAGTATATACTTACACAAAAATATATTTAAAATGTTTAAATTATGTTGTAAAAAATGTTTTTGATTAGTAAGTGAAAAGTACAGGATACAAAACTCATGTGTATAATAAGAGCCAGATTTTGTAAAAGAAAATATGTATATATGATAATCGCAAAAGGGCTGAGAGGTCATATCCCTAGAGGACAACAATGATAAGATTATGGGTGATTTCGGGCCGGCCCTGTGGCTTAGTGGTTAAGTGCGTGTGCTCCACTGCTGGCGGCCCGGGTTCGGATCCCTGGCGCGCACTGACACACCACTTCTCCGGCCATGCTGAGGCCGCGTCCCATATACAGCACCTAGAAGGATGTGCAGCTATGGCATACAACTATCTACTGGGGCTTTGGGGGAAAAAAATAAATAAGTAAACTTAAAAAAAAAAAAAAAAAGGTTATGGGTGATTTAGATAGTCCTTTAAAAAATTTTTTTTGGACTAAACTGTGTTTGCTGGATATTCTTCCATGACCACACATTTCTTTTATAAGAAAAAGAAATAAGGTTTTTATTACGATTTAAATTTAACTTTGTAATGTTCTTTCCAATCCTAATTTTATTTCCTAAGAATTTACTGAAGTTGGACCCAGCTGACAGATACTTGACAGAACAGTGTTTGAATCACCCTACATTTCAAACCCAGAGACTTTTGGATCGCTCCCCTTCAAGGTCAGCAAAAAGAAAACCTTACCACGTGGAAAGCAGCACTTTGTCTAATAGGTAAATATTCCCTTTTAAGGAAATATAGATGCAGTGTTGGTCTTACAAGTAGGTGGAGGAGGTGGCTGCTTAAATGATACAATTAGAGAAAAGAAGGAAAGCCCTCTTTATTCAAAAATATCTTCCTTATGCTTATTACATGATTCAGAACCACAATTAAAGAGTTGTGTGGGTCTTAAAGACTTTATCTTTAACAAGTATATTATGGAAACCTATGCATTCCTTGGGAAAGGTGGCATGGGTTATCAACTAAGGGGGTTTCTAACCTCATGAGCTAGAAGATTCTGTGTAAATGGGACCCAGTGGGTGATGCTTGGAGGAAGAAGGGTGGGTGAGGGCAAGGGGATTTCTGGAGGGAGAAGAGGAGGCCAAACACAGGTGAGTGGGAAGGCACGTAGGACAATCTTTGCAACCAAACTCAGTCAGTCTGCTCTATAGAAGGGTCTTGTGTTTTTGTTGCTCTTGTCTATTTATCATTGAGTTGAGAAGTTTTTTTTCCCCATAAGAATAAGAATAAGGAAGTAGTAAAGTCAGTTTGGTAGATAGTGATTAAAATTGGTGCTTTTTAAAATATAACTTTTCAACATAATCTTAAAAAAAGAAATCTCTATTTCCTGAGGGAAAAAACTCACAAGGGATTGGACTATGCAATCAGGTTCTCTCTCCAGAACTGATGTTCCGTGATTCTGTTGGCTGCATTTACAGGAGGGCAGTGTGCTTGTCACTGTCTCCTTGTCTTCCTTCCTCTCCCAAGAAGCTGGTCTTGTCATCTGGCATTGCTTAGACTATGGGAGATAGGAGATAGTTTCTCTCATCTACTGTTAAGAAGAGAAATAGAAAACAATAATTCTTAATGTGGACCTTTTTGAATATAAATTTTCTCCCATTTTCCCCCAATTTTCTCTCCTTGTAGAACAATTGTTCTTAATCCATTGGAATTTTGAAAGCTCAAGACCTGGTACTTTTTAGAACTGTGAGCACATCCATAAATTGGCAATAACCATTTATTCTCTATTTTCTCTGCTTAACTGCGATGGTGTAATTGTGTTTTACAGCTCTTTACTTTCTTTAAAATGACTGGTTTTAGTTATTGTTTCCCTCACATCTTATAGACAATTCTTACTTTTCAAGGAGGTCTGGAATCAGATTCAAATTCCCTTTAACCAAGTTTGTGTTCACCTTGTTGTCTGTTTCTATGAGATTTTAGTACACTAAGTCAAGGAATAGTATTCATCGTTTGGTTGCTCCTTTGCATTTAGGAGTTTCACATTATGCCTGTCTTATCTGGGGTCACTCCCAGTTCAGGTGCTTTTCTCTCCCTTCTACCTTGTCACTTGACTCCTCTAGTTTACATTTGCAAAGAGAAAGGATCCCAGTGATATAAAGGTTGGTAGACCGATGATAAATTTTTGATTTGTGCTATAGTGATTAGTGGTATAACCCATATCATGAAAGGGGGCCTGTGTATTCGTCCTCTAGTGACTCACTTGAGAGAGATCCCAGTGGGGATTTGAGGTTCTCCCTGGGAACCCTCTTTAGGGATCTGTCAAGGAGGATGTGTGTAGTGATGAGGATATGGTTTATATGGATCTTTGAGGAGTCCTGCCAAATCCCCTTTTCAAGTAGATGAGAATAGAAATTATAAGTAAATAAAAAGCTCTGGAGGAATTTGTTTTTAGGTCTTGACAATGTACTAACTATATTAAAGAAAAAGTCCTAAATGGTTTCTCTAGGAACGATCTTAGCTCAGTTTACATGCATCTGGAAATGTCCTTTTGTCCACACTTGTCTGTGGTCCGTATTTCCTCTATGGAAACCCTTCTTGTTAGAGACACTACTTCTTTTCTTTTCTTTCTTTTTTTTTTTTTTGAGGAAGATTGGCCCTGAGCTAAATCTGTTGCCAATCCTCCTCTATTTTATATGTGGGATACCACCACAGCATGGCTTGATGAGTGGTGTATGTCTGCACCCGGGATCTGAACCCACAAACCCCGGGCCACCGAAGCGGAGCATGTGAACTTAACCACTACACCACTGGGCCAGCCCCTAGGGACACTGATTCTTCATAGACCATGGCTCCCTTAGACTTCCCAGCACCATTGTAGAGATGTTCATGGCACCGTATCATGGTGGCTGCCACTTACACACTCCCCTGACTTGTCCCTGAGACACACTCACATACCCTCTCTTCTGTCATCCAGGTTCCTGTCTCTGTAGGAGAAGCAGTGGGCTCTTGCATTACCTAGCCCCTGCCTAAGCCTGCTTCAAACTCTCCTGAGGTTCTGCTCACCTTGGACATGGCGGGATGGTGCTTCAGCCTGCCCTGCACTGCCCTCTCGCCAGTCCTGCTTTGCCAACCTTCTCCATAAAAATGTCGCTTTGCATCTTTGATGTTTGTTTTGAAAAGTTATTTTGCCTAAAGAGATTAACTATCTATCTATCCTGCCAACCATTTAAGAAGGGTTTATATATAAAATCCTCTCAAGTGGTTGGCAGTTTAACACAGATTCTTTACAGTTGTGTGTCAAAGAGATCTATGGAATTTTTCAAGCAGTTTTTTATTGTTGTGCTTTGGCAGAGCTCCAATTTGAAGACAATTTGATGCCCTTTCTACGTAGGAATTAGGTACAAAACTCAATGGCATCAGATTAATATCAATACAGAAACTTTCAGAATAGCAATTTAGGTTCTTTGTACATTTATGTCAACCTAAATCTTTAACAAATGTTTCTACCTTAACTTTATAGACTCCCTTTTCACGTTAGAAATTGTGTCTTACATTGCTATGAACATGTTCTTTCTAACATGTAGGTTTGTGCTTCACATTGAGAGCAGTGTTTCCAAGAGTTTCAAAAGCTCGAGCAGCTGTCTTCACTCTTCTCCTTTTCTGGTCCTCTTGGGAGCTTCAGACGTTTCACAATATCTGCATGTGTTATCTCTGCTATTACTCTCTCTAAGCCTGAAGGAGAGAAAGTGTTGGCAATAGGGTTCTGAGAGCCCAGGCGAGCCAGGCAGGAGGAGCCACCCCGTGGAAGCTGTGATCTGGAGGGACACAGTTCCCATCTAAGCCCGGGTGCTGATGCTGGGAAGGAGCAGGGAAGACAGGCGCCAGCTTCTTGCACTGCTAAGCCCCACTGGGAGTTAGGCGGTAAGGGAGCCTGGGTGCAGCAGTCTGCAGTGTTGGGCTCCTGAGGCCCAGGATGGGGCAAGAGAGGAGTGGAAAATGGATTGGGGGTTGGGCAAATGGAGAATAACCAGCACATTTAGATCTATTTATGGGTGAGACTGTTCGTCTATCATCGTTTGGGTTTTTGAAAAGTTGCTGAGATGTTTTAATTACCGAGAATAAGTTGACAAACGACTCTGATGGTTTAAAACCTGATGCCTTTAGGGTACGACGACTGTCCTTTATTGATCTGGGGAGACTCTGTTGACATCATTTAACAGAAAGTGCAACTTTCCTTTCTTTATCATTTCTCTCTAGGTCTGGGATCTGCCATTTAGTTAGCTCATATTTAAATGACCATATTTAATGCTGCAATTCTTGTGCCCCAACTGGGAGAGCTTAGTGAGTGCATTTAGGAGATGATGCCTTCCACATTGTTATAGGCTTGCTTGATATCAGATACTTTTTAACCCTGGAAGGTAGGACGAGAGGAAAAGGGCCCTGACCCTTGATGCCTGAGCAAGTGTGGATTCTCACAGGGAAAATGGGAAGGCATAGTTTCACAGATTACCATTCTACAGAAAACAAAATGTGACTTTTCTTCCAATTAGTGTGTGATGGGAACAAAACTCTCCCAAATCAAACCATCTTAGCAATAGAAATATTTGCAGCAAAATTTTATGAATGCATAGTAAAAAGGGAATTGTGTAAATTATTTTTCATTTGAAAACATTCTCAGCTATCTCAAACTACAATTTGGTCCTTTAAATAGTTACAATAGAACAAACTGACTTGGCTGTGATGTCATTTTCAGCTTTCAAATAGAGGACAAGGTTTTCCTCTGGATTTATATTTTGTATTTTAAACCAAGTAGGAAATGAAGCTTTAAATCCTAAAGAAGGCCCCAGATGCTTTGGAATAATGACATGTGAAATGAAGAAGAGAATAAATTGTGTCTTTTGGAAAGAAATTAACTCTTTAGATCCCTCTGATCCAGTTAGAGACATGTTCCTGTTTAGTGTACATGAAGGTGTCTGAGTACAAGTACTCCAAATAGTGCCACTTCTCTAAAACATAAACATTGATCACCATGTTTTCCCGACAAACCTCACCAGGCAATTTACATTTCTTTTTAGAGTACCATTTTCTTTTATTGAGTACATTGCTAGAATTCTCATTGTTTGATGATACAGGCTAAAGACAAAAGAGACGCTGGTGTCTGTAAGTATGTATCTCTGAGGCAGGCTGTGAGTTTTATAAATAAAAATGAAGTTGAAGGAACACAGTGACCTTCAAGTCTAAATGTTGCCATCTGACATTCAAGCAGGCAAGAGTTATAAAGAGTTTGTCTATAGCTCAGCTCTCTTCTCCTTAGCAGGCGTTCTATAACAAACACTCATGTGAGCACCAATATAGCAAAAGCACGTTTCCTCAGATTATCACTTCGAAACTGTGTTGGCAGCAAGTTAGCCGAGCATTTAAGGATGCCAAAATCATTTCATCAGGACCGATGCTTTGTTGCAGAGTGACTTGATCTAAGGAACTTACTTCTGAGAGTTATTTGTTGGCACATGTTAGAGAGAGTTTTTTAGTCTTTGAGGTGTTTTAGGTATTTGTCCTTTTTTTTTTAATGATACTTTTTGTGTGTCTGCTATTGAGGGAAACTGATATACTTCTTTCGTTTTTCACATAGAAACCAGGCCAGCAAAAGTGCTGCTTTGCAGTCTCACCACAGATCTAACAGCAAAGACATCCAGAACCTAAGTGTGGGTCTGCCCCGGGCTGACGAAGGTCTTCCTGCCAATGAAAGCTTCCTAAATGGAAACCTCGCTGGAGCTACTCTTAGTCCCATGCACACCAAAACCTACCAGGCAAGCAGCCAGCCTGGGTCTTCGGGTAAAGATCTTACCAACAACAACTTACCACACCTTCTCAGCCCAAAAGAAGCCAAGTCAAAGGCAGAGTTTGATTTTAACATTGACCCAAAGCCTTCAGAAGGCCCAGGCACAAAGTACCTTAAGTCAAGCAGCAGATCTCAGCAAAACCGGCACTCGTTTATGGAAAGCTCTCAGAGCAAAGCGGGAACACTGCAGCCCATTGAAAAACAGAGTCGACATAGCTACATTGACACCATTCCCCAGTCCTCCAGGAGTCCCTCCTACAGGACCAAGACCAAAAGCCATGGGGCCTTGAGTGACTCCAAGTCGGTGAGCAACCTTTCCGAAGCCAGGGCCCAAATTGCAGAGTCCAATACCAGCAGGTACTTCCCGTCCAGCTGCTTGGACTTGAACTCTCCCACCAGCCCAACCCCCACCAGGCACAGCGACACGAGAACTTTGCTCAGCCCCTCCGGGAGAAATAACCGAAGTGAGGGCACTCTCGACTCACGCCGAACCACAACCAGGCATTCTAAAACAATGGAGGAGTTAAAGCTGCCCGAGCACATGGACAGCAGCCATTCCCATTCACTGTCTGCACCTCATGAATCGTTTTCTTATGGGCTGGGCTACACCAGCCCCTTCTCTTCCCAGCAGCGTCCACACAGGCATTCCATGTACGTGACCCGGGACAAAGTGAGAGCCAAAGGCTTGGACGGAAGCTTGAGCGTAGGGCAAGGGATGGCGACCAGAGCCAACAGCCTGCAGCTCTTATCACCTCAGGTACAGCTTAGGACCTTGACCCGATCTGTTGGTGCTCGTCATGGGAAGGTGGTGCAGGGGTGTGAACAGGGTCAGTCTGCAATTTTCCCTACTGCAGGAGGTTGTACTTTCTCGATAGGATACATTTAGGGAAGCAATATTTAAAGGACTAATCTGTAAAAAAAATAAAAATAATTTTCTTATTTAAGCCAATTATTGAGTACTCAAGAGAACTCAAAAAGCTCGTTTTTAGAAATCTGTTTCCTTTCTTAAATGTTCCTTTCTGGCATATTTTGTAGAGAGAATCCTATTTTGATTTATTACAGAATTTATCAGCTATATGAGTTAGTTTTTAATTTTCTCAAAATTCAGTGTGAATTTATGGGGATTTTCTCTAATCTCTCCCAACCACATTTGCTTAAGTCAAACTCTTTTGCTAATGCCTTACTCGATATCTTAACTGAATTGAAAAGTTTTAAATTTAACTAGAACTATAGGTAAATTTAACTTCAGGATAAATGTTAATTTTCAGTCTTTTAGATTGTTTTTAAATCTCAAGGCAGTGTTTTTAGCATAATGCTTCCTCCATCTTACTGATCTTTAGACTCTAAAACTGACACTAACCTGTTTAAAAGAAGTAGCATGCTTACAACAGAACACATGTTTTTTAAATTATGTTTTTGTGATCTATAACATTCACCTGCATCAAAGAAATGAAGGTGGAGAAAAGCCAATGTCAGAAGGCAGAGTTTCACATAGGGAAAGTGCTCCCTTTTAGAGGATATGAAAATAGGTTCATCAGCATGTGTCAGAACTCCAGGAAATATGGATGGAGTCTGTCATGGGAGGCTTAGCAAGATGAGCGCTGGGGACGGGTAGACCGTCAGTAACTGAGCAGTCGGTGTAGCAAAGCAGCTAAGAGCTCAGGCTGGAAAGCCAGACAGACCTGGGTTTGTATCCAGTTCTGCAATGTGCTTCAAACTGTGTAAATTTGGGAAAGTGATGTAATTTCTCTGTGCCTCAGATTACTCATCTGGGTGGTGTTATGAAGATTAAACACAGTGTATAAAGCACTGTGCCCGGTGCCCGGCACAGAGTTAACTGTTGAACAAATTTTAGTTGTTGCTGCTTCTGTGATGGTGGGGGCTGTTCTTTAGACATTGAACACCTCCTCTGTGCTGGGTATTCTCAGGCACTCAAAAGAGTCTGACATAGGGTCCTTGCCCTTGAGAAACTTATCTTCTCTTAGGGAAGATTAAATTATACTTGATAACAATGAAATAATTAAGAACCAAATTACTGTGGCACTGGCTATAAATAGGAGTTGAGAACAGGGAGAGATCATTGTGAGCAGGAGCAGTCAGAAGTGGCTTTAGGGGCAACTAAAGGTCTTGCTCTGAGCTAGGGTGTAGGTAGAGGTTTTAAATGGCTAAAGAATGAAGATGTGTTCAGGCATTTACTGAGTGAGGCACCATGATAGGCTCTAATTAGAGTGATGAAAAAGATGTGGTCCCTGTCCTCTTGGAGTGTGTGGGCTGGGGGCGGGGGGCTGGCACCCACTTGCCAACGGATAGGCTGTTGCAATACTGTGAGGCTGCGTGCCGCGCTGCACTGTGCTGGAGGTATGCGCGCCTATGGACAGCCTAGGGACAGAGAGGAGCGGCACAGTCCCGGCAGGGGGTTGTGGGAGGCCCCCAGGGGAGGTGGCATCTGAGCAGAGACTTCTGGGATTTAGCTAGGGGAAGAAAGCGGAGACGACATCAGGAAAGAGGCTTGAAGGGAGGGTGGGAAAGAGCGCTGCGAGGAAAAGAGGGTAATAGAGACATTAAATAGCGTGGTGTGCTGTGGGGATTGCAACTTGTTCCACGTTGCTGGAGTGAAAAATGCAAGATTTGGGGTGGCTTTTGCAATAATCCAAGCATGAGGTAGGGAGAGTATGTTCTGGACTAAGTCAGTGCCAGTGGGAAGACAGAGAAAGAGTGGGTCTTAAAGACTCCTCAGAAGTAGAAACAATGGGACTTGTGAATTGCAAGGTTCAATATAGGAAAGAGAAAGACTTCACAGTTTCTTTTTGGGGGCTCCTTTTCAGAGGCGAAGAGAGGACTTTTGAAGTCACCTAATTCAACCCCTTTATTTCACAGATGAGCATGCTGAGGCTCCAAGAAGTTGAGTGGGTTGCCCAGGTTTACCCCACTAGTTCAGGGCACAGCTGGGATCATGAGGCAGTGTCTAGTTTCCTAGGCCAGCACTCTTCACGCTGTATTATGCTGGCATGTTGAGGTTGAAGTGACCCTGGGCCCCTAAGCAGAGTTGTTCTCCCCGAGGTTGGAAAGACCATCTGGTGCTCAGGTGAGAGGAAGGGCAGGAGATACACGCTTGCACGTGGAAGAGATACACATGGCAGGAGATGCCGTGATCGGAGTCAGAGGAGCCCCTGTGGAGTCCATCTAGAGAGCAGAGAATCTCTAGGGCCTAGAAAGATCTCTATAGAGCCTGGCAGCTACCAATAGATGCTACATGGAGGTCAAAACCAGATAAAGTAAGCTGGCATTAAGCATAGTGTAAACAGAGAAGAAGTAAGAAAAACAAAAAGCTATAACTTGGAAAAGGCAAATGGACCAACTCTCTGAGAGATCCAGAAAAAAAACTTTGTGAACATGGTGGAAATAAGCTAATTCTAAACAGTTACTGTGGGCTAAGCACAGATCCAACTGTTACTGAATTTTAAGTCCAGTTCGGGCGGTACAGTGCCAAGCTGCAAGAAAGTACAAGTTTAAAGACACAAAGATGGCAGACGGCTTGACAAGTAACCAAAGCTGTAAATAAATGACGAGAATCACGCTCTTGCAAAGTATTGTAGCCACCTTCAAGAGCAAGGGGACTGGACTGGCACTGTCACTTAAGAGTTTAGGTTAGATGTAAATCATTTGTTTTCTAAAATACTTTTCTATAGGCCTTTGTAAACAATACAGGTGATAAAATTCAAGTAAGTTCTTTTTACAAAGTAGAAAGAAGAAAGGCTACATTAGATGATTTCCTGCCCAGAATCCTTTCATAGTACATTTGGGGACTGAGGGGGAGAAAGAGAGAATCATATTTTAAATTTTAAATAAAATGTTTTTGATACATCACGAAAGGCTCAAGATAATACTCTTTCTGTGCTTAATGTACAGATATGCAATGCAGCTAACTCCTCCTAATGGCTTGGTAATTTTGTTCCTTAATCTTTTTTTTCCAAGGGTAGAAAATGCTACTTTCACCCTCAATGAACACCATGGTGGACCAAGGCTGCTCTTAGCTGTGACTCACTTCCTTAAGAGAAATAGATAGTGTCTCCAGAGATGAGCACTGTCATGATTATGGTTAAGAAAATACATGAAATATAAGTACTGTTATCCTTGAGAAGATTAAGAAGAGAACTTAAGTACATAAACTACAGTAGTTAGGGAATTAAGATAATACAGTAGTTAGTTATTGAGTACTGATTCTATTCCTTGATATACTCAAAGAACATTTGTTTTCATCTGAATCTGCTATATAAGTCCTTCTTAAAAAATAATTTTGGATCTACGCAGTTCTTTTTGGAGAACTCAGCCTAAAATCTGCTAGAGAAATTTTGGATTAACTAATAGAATCTCGAATTAGAGTACTGCTCAGAACCATGACTATCTAGATATTAGGAAGATAATTCTCTTTGTTTTTAATAATTAATTGAACTATTTTCAGAGTAATTCAATCCCAGCTCGCCTTTACTTTAATGAGAATTTCACTTTCCATCTGTGTGACATTTGTTTGACTTATTTTACATTCATCAGATGATTCACTCTTTTACGGGACAATTTGTGTTTCAGCCAAGTAACATTTTTTATTTTAGCCAGTTGAGGTACTGGTTATATACCAAGTAAAGCCCCTGGTGATTTAGGTGATTTTCATTCCTAGGAACAGGACACTCTTATAAATCCTTTTAAATTTGACTTGCAGCCTGGAGAACAGCTTCCTCCAGAGATGACTGTGGCACGATCTTCCGTTAAAGAATCCTCCAGAGAAGGGCCCTCTTCGTTCCATGCACGGCAGAAGTCTGAGGTATGAATTCTCCAGAGTTGCTACCTTTTATGATAAAATGTGCCATAAAGGTAGATTGTAATGATGTCAAATGACCAATCTTTTAAAATGTATTCATACCCAATCTTCCGCAAATAATTTGTACTGGCTTGTAAAGTAAGTGGTTTTCCTCAAGCCATACTTCTGAGTTTTCTCTTTAAAAGAGCCTAGAGTAAATTATAGACCAGTTAGGTACTGTTCTAAGTTTACAGGCCCTGTCATCGCTCTGTCATTTACTTTTTATAAACCTGTTTCCTGTCTCAGGGCGGATCGTATCATGACCCGCACTCTGATGATGGCACTGCCCCTAAAGAAAATAGACACCTATACAATGATCCTGTTCCAAGGAGAGTTGGTAGCTTCTACCGAGGTAAGCCTGGCCCCTAGCACCCACCAGGGCCCTCTCTCCTCTCCCCCTCACTACACCTCCAGGCCGCGCCCCCCACTACATTTCGCTGCCCTGACTGCCATCAGACCAGCGTCATTCTTGCGTGTGCGGTTGCCTACCAACGCTTCTCCCTGCCTCCGGTCCTGCTGTCTTAGTTCAGGCCCTCGTGGTTTCTGACTTGGGTTCTTTGAGTAGCCTGCCAACTGGTCTGCCTATCTCCAAGGTTGCCATCAAAACAGTCCATGGAATAATTCTTCTGAAGCTGTGTTCTGACCCCACCACTCATTCATTCAGTTAAGTCATAAAATATTTATTGACGTCACCTGTCTGCCTGACACTGTCCTAGCTTAGAACATGTCAGTGAACGAGACAGCCAATGGTCTCCACCCTCATGGAGCTCACGTTCTCATGAGGAAAGAGCAACACTAAATGTAATAATTATATAGAGCAGTAAAAGATAATAAATGCTACAGGGACAAAAATAGAGCAAGGCAACCCATTGCCCCTACCACGCTGCCCCCCCGCCTCCCCAGTCCTCTCTCTCACCTGCTGAGAGTCCTCTCGTGGCTTCCCACTGGCATCAGGACAAAATCTGAATTCCCTAAGATGCCATTTCAGGCTTTCCGTGCCCTGGCCCTTGCCATCCTCTCCAGCTGCTCTGCCTCCTCTCTGGTGCCCAGCCTGTGGGACTCACACCCATGCCATGCTCTTCTCTGGCCTGAAACATACTCCTCGCCCTCCTTGGTAGCTTGTTTCTGTTCTTTTAAGATTCTACTTTGAGGGCCGGCCCTGTGGCTTGGTGGTTAAGTGCGCGCGCTGCAATGCTGGTGGCCCGGGTTCGGATCCCGGGTGCGCATTGAGGCACCACTTCTCCGTCCATCCTGAGGCCGAGTCCCACATACAGCAACTAGAAGGATGTGCAGCTATGGCATACAACTATCTACTGGGGCTTTGGGGGGAAAAAATAAAATAAATAAAATCTTTAAGATTCTACTTTGAGGTCCTCTGCAATGTGATGTCTTCCCTGCCCACCCAGACGAAGTGAAGTGTTTCCTCCTCTGTTCCACCCATGGTTCCTTGTCTAGGCCTCTAACATGACACAGACCACATGGCACTGATTCTTTGCGTTTCTCACGAGATTGCAAGGCCCTCAAAGACATTGAGTTCTCTTTATTTTTTCCTCTTTTACTCTCATCGACTAGCACACTGCCTAGCAGTTTCATAAATATTTGTTTGTTTGTTTGTTTATTTTTGTGAGGAAGATCAACCCTGAGCTAACATCCATGCCAATCCTCCTCTTTTTGCTGAGGAAGACTGGCCCTGAGCTAACATCTAATGCCGATCCTCCTCCTTTTTTTTCCCTTTTTCTCCCCAAAGCCCCAGTAGATAGTTGTACGTCGTAGTTGCACATCCTGCTAGTTGCTGTATGTGGGACACCGCCTCAGCATGGCCCAACAAGCGGTGCGTCGGTGCGCGCCCGGGATCCGAACCTGGGCCGCCAGTAGTGGAGTGCGCGCACTTAACCACTGAGCCACAGGGCCGGCCCCAATATTTGTTGACTGAATAAAAGAAAATCTTCAGGTGTACTTGCACAACCTTATAAATGTACTTCAATGTTTAATAGAGAACTAAAACAGATGCTTCGAGGGCTGTGTGGATTTAGGAGACATTGACAGAGAAAGGCATCTCCTTTGAGGAGCTATGCAGTGATAAAGTGAGAGCCCCCGGGAAGCCCCAGCCACTAGTAGGTAGACTGACACCAAGCCCATCGAGGTGGGGGCAATGTCCTAGCTCCAGGAGGCACAGCTTCTCAAAGCCTTCAAGAGTCACTACGACCTTCTAGAGACACCCATGCCCACATTGCCTGGCTTCTGACTATTCTGTTGATTAGGGAGGACAGCTGGAAAGAGGCAGGAATTGGGAGGGAACGTGGACAACTGCTTGGTCATTTTAATTAGGAACCTGAGCTAAATACATTTATTTAGGACTAAATGTATATTGAATGATGAGGCTACTCTGTTCCCTCCCAGCCCCACCTTTGAAAAAAGCATAAGGCATCCAGTATGCCTTTTAATGCATTTATTTATTTTTTTTTCTGATGCCATGGTTACTTTAGAATTCTATGGAACTAAAATTTTAATTCAGATTAAAGTTAATTAAAACAAAATATTGTAGTTTATATGAGCAAAAGCCTTTTCTTCTATTACTGTAAGTTTTACTTCCAAAATGGACCATACACGTTATTTCTATAGATGTCTGGAGAATATACTTGAATATAAAATGTTAGCAAAGTTTTAAATTAATTAATCAATTAGTCTTTGACCTCTGGAAACACCATTTTATTTTGATTGCAAGTGAATTAAATTGGTTAATATCAGTAAAGCCCCTCAGTGGTCTTCCTCATAATCCACTTCAGGGTTTGGCAGGTAGAACATTTTTATTTTAGGAAGTCTAGAAATAGGAAAAAATTTAGGTGAAACATCTGGAGACTAAATCTTGATTTGGTGATATCATTGAAATGGCAGATGTTTCCATAATACTTCCCGTTTCCAGTCCTACTGGTCAAGGGTCAAGTGAAATGGTGTCATTTATCTTGGTATACAGCCTGTAGATTCCTTTTGTGATGAAATTTGCAGTATATTTTGATTTATGACCAAGCTTACAAATTGACAGAAAAAGGTAATAACCACCCCTCCTCCCTCCCCAAAAAAGGCAGAAAAGTGTTTAGTCACATACATTGTGGTTTGTCTTTCTGTTCATTCTTGGATTGAGAACCTAGAGAAAAATAGTATTTTTATGCAAATAAATTTCTTTGGAATTTAGTTTAAAAAAATATAAAATTGATGCTGCCTCCCAAGTGTCAAGGATTAAATTGTAGTTTGTATATTCCAGCACACATATTATTAGGAATCACTTCAGACTAAGAATGGATTTTGCATAGTTGGGTCTGTGATGTAAGAAAGCCTCAACTTCAAAGAATGTCAAAACAGTGGCAGGGGGTAGGGGGTGCTATCATGTTCATACTTGTAAATATCCTACAGGGTTCTTCAGTTTATCAGCTGGCAGGTCAGTTTATGTTTTGAATCCATAATTACCCAGGTGTTAACTGACCCTTGCAAGTTACTGTTGTGAGCAGTAGAGGGAGGGAGAATGTTCCCTGGAATGCCTCCACCCTCAGAAACCACAAAAGTTATATGAAGGGCAGATGAGGATTTTATCTGTTTGTTAATTTATTTTATTTGTGTGAGAGAAAATGCAGTAGAATAACATGAGAACTGCTTTGACCAAAAGAGTACATCAGTGGCTTATTTTTTCTTTATTCAGTGCCGTCTCCACGTCCAGACAATTCTTTCCATGAAAATAACGTGTCAACTCGAGTTTCTTCCCTACCATCAGAAAGCGGCTCTGGAACTAACCACTCAAAGCGACAACCAGCGTTCGATCCATGGTGAGTATTTTGGTTTGTTTTTTTTCCTAATCATAGATTTGAGATTTCAAAGAAATTTTGCATAAACTTTTTAGCTTTCTTTCTCCTGCTAGGCCTTTCTTTCTTGAGAGAGATTGTTTGATGAGGAAAATGTGATTTGTCGTTCTTTGTAGTGGTCTCTTTCAAGTTCAGCATTTATATTAAATATCATGTAAAAGAAAAAAAATCTCCCGGGTCAGCAAATACCTCCTCAGTCTTCCATTGCGTTCTCCTGATGTGATGGATGTCTTCTGCTGTCTCCTCTCTTGTTGCTCTTGAATCACGTAGCAGACACTTGGGTTAGCACTTTGTTTGCACTGCTCACTCAGTCCTCACAATCAGCCTTTGAAGTAGGGGTGGCTCAATTCTACAGGTGAGGACACTACAGCTTAGAAAAGGTAAGGAGCTTACCTGGTGCTGGACAGTCAGTAACAGGGTGGAGGGAGCCAGGATCTAGACCTAGACAGGCTTTGACTTCAAAGCTCGTGTCTTTCCCCTCTATGCCGCCTGACTTTCATTCAGGGTGAAAAGAGAGAAATAAGGATACAACCCTGTATGTTACCACAAAAGCATAATGGTAGTCAGAGGTTAAAATGAGGCACCAACTTTGTTTATGCTTTTCTCTTTTTGTGTCATATGTAATAAAAATTTAGGGAGAGAATTATAACATGTATCAAGTCTCATTAGCAGATCTATCTGGAGAGTAAGGACTTTTTTTTTTTTTTTAATAATAATGTAGACTTTATATTCTCAGCTGCCCACAAAGACTGCCCAGAATCTAGGTGTGAGGGGCATTTATGTGTACTTCACAGAACTACTAAGTTCTTCACCAAGAGAATAAAATGGCATATCTCTGTAACACACCGAATTTAGAATTAGATCAGTCTGTCAGAGATTCCATCTCTTGTTTGTTGCCAGAAGTCACAGAAGGGCCTAGGTCGGTACTCTTAACACTATATGGTTTCACAGTTTGGACCCTGTTGGCAGGGTTGTATCGAGGTTTCAATGTTACTGTGCCCTATGGTGAAAATAGCTTAATTATTTTAAAAATAATAATAAAAACGATGTTTTTTAAAGCTGTAAATACTTTTTGTTTTATAAGCACACTTTACATCCATTGCCTTATTTATAAAATGAGAGTTTTAACGTTAGTGACGAGGTTAGACTCTGGAAATAGAATATCTTGATTAGTGTCACCTTCTGGCCATGTAACTTGAACCTCTCTGCCCCTTGGTTTCCTCATCTGTAAAAATAGGGCTAAGAATAGCACCTCCCTCCTAGGGTTGATGTGATCATTAAAGGAGGAAAACCATCAAAAGCACCTAGATCCGGCCTGGCGCCGTTGTGACTTGTTAACAGTAGCCATTTGTATCGTTAACATACTCTGACTTCAGTATGACTCGTCAGGTGTCTCCCCTCCACTTACTTGGCTGATAAACTTTGGTGCATTCTTTCTCCCTGTGACTGTAGACAAGATCTCCTATACATTAACCTGAGAGCACACGTACAGCTTCTCTTAGTTACCAGCGTTGACAGTTTTCAAGTGTGGCTTTGACAAGCCCTGAGAATAGTGTCTAAATTGTGAGAATACAGAAGTACAGAAGGAATTGTTCTTCCTCCTGGTCATTGCATGAGGAAGTTGTGATGGTTTAAAAGAGCATCAGTTACAGATTAACATAGTCCTGTGAAAATTAGGTGGGTCAGATCAAAACTGAATCCAAATATAGGATAGGTAGTGTTAACAACATATTGTTTCTGTCTTTTTGATAATCAGTTTGAGTAGAACTTGTTTAGACCTGGATATGTATAGACACCTGAAAACAGTTGTTGTAAAAATTGAGATGTTGAACTTTACACAAATCTTCAAGTCATCCTTACTCTGATATTGCTGTTTTGAGGCTTGAGAGAGTTCCAGAATTGCCAGTGATGAATTGGCTCTATTCTTTTGTTCCCACTACCCCTCATGATAATGCTGCTATGGTACTTTTCCTTCATGCATTACATCTAACTTAGTCTAAGTCATTCATTAAGCTTGATTTGTCTTGTTTTTTTTTTTTTCCTTGAACAAGATTTCTCATTGGTTCACTATATTGTGTATGTTTGAGAGAAATGCAGTTTGATAACTGTTACAAACACACGAACGAGCCTTGCTATGGTAACAGCGAATTGCTTTTCCTAAATTATTGCTTACCTAAGGGCAGTCTATTTCTCCTTGATAGTAGTACTTTACATTTCTTTTGGGAAGAGATTATTTATTTGTACAGTGTACACATTTCTTGCAATGGAAAAATCAAGCTACTATATCATATTTTAAAGAGATAAATAGATATTGTAGTATAACATCCAGAGTGGTGGTTCTGGCCATCTCAGCTATCCAGAATCCGGTTAAAAACTGGGAGATAAGCCAAAATATTGCAGAACAAGAGAAATAGAGTTAACGTGGTCAGATTCATCATCTTTACTAACGGGAAAACACCTCCACCCTCCTTATGAACCTGTTTGTTCTACTTTTATGCACAGTTCTAGCAGTTGGCTCTGAGGTTGTCGGGCAAGAAATAATCCCAGGTAACAATACAGAGTGCAGAGGAGAAAGATCCCAAGCAATATTGTGGAGAGAAGAGGGTATTTTTGCCTTTTCTCAGGCCCCCCGTGGGAAAATCATTTCTAGCCTTTATGGTTTCATACATAGAATAGATATCCATGTAGAGTATATATTTATAAAATAGGCTGCTCTTTGCTTAAAAAGACAAAGTATATAAATATGTTTAGAAAGACTACTGTCAAAATTGGGTTAAAAATTGACACTTAAACAGTAAATCAAATTAATTAGAAATCCTAGTAGTTAAGTGAAGAATTGCTGTCACTCGTACAATCCCAGGCTTTTTCTTCTTGTAAAGTTATGAATATACTGGTATCCATTATTGCTTGCCGCCGTTAACTCACAAAATTATTCCCTAATTTTCTCTTCTCAGATAATTAGCTAACCACCCTAGCCACACTACCAGGGCAGGGAAAGTGTCACCCAGAAATGCCCCTCTCCTCTCCATCTCACCTTCACACTGCTCCCAGAGGGATTATACTGAAGCCCCGGAAGTCTGGCCCCCTGTTAAACCTGTGGGTCTCCCGCCTGGAGTCTGTAAGCAGCTTGAGGTCACACTCCTTATTGTATTTTTCTCCGTAGCTCCAACACCTAACACGGGGCCTGGCACATACAGAATACTCCGTAGATACTGGTTGACTTTGATTCAGTCAGTTTAATTCCTTCCCTTTTTAGATGTCTTTTGAATTCTTTCTTTCCTTTTGACCCCTTATGGAAATAGCTGTTGTGTTAGATAATATTTGAGTCCCAAGACTGTGCAGGAAGGAGACCGTTACCCCTGTTAGCCCCGTACCATCATTCTCGCCCCCTGCTGTTTTATCAGCCCTGGAAAATGTGCCAGGTGACTAGCTGGATGGTCCTTCTCAAAGCTCCTGTCCCTGAGATTTATGTGGTCACCCACTTGCCCTTCTTTTGCGCTGCCCCTCTTAGACCCACCTGTTGCCTATACAGTTAGCTCAGGTCAGCATGCAGTTGCTGGCTGTACCAGGTAAAATCGCAGGGTCCAGAATTCACAAATGAGATAAATTATGGGGCTCGCTCTTACCCATTTGGCACAGTACCAGTTGTAAATGTCCAAGTCTCTCTCTTCATTCTCTGGTACAACACACAGCTTTTCAGATGCCTGTGTTCCAGGCAGCTTCTCTCCATCTCTCTGAGTCTCTCTCCCAGGCTTTTTCTCCCTTCTGTTTCTCTGTTAATTCTGTGTGTGTGTATGTTTCAGTGTAGCTTCTCCCTCTCTCTCTCCCACTTGCACTCTTTCTCTTTGTCTCTGACTTCCTTCTGTGTCTTTTGTGATGCATGCACACTCACACTTCACTCCTGTCATCCTCTAGTTCAAGGGTAATTTATTTCCTTGTTTGTCTTGGCCTCTGAGATCTTTCCCTACCTGGATCTTGGCCCCACTGCCTCTACTCCGCTTCAGTTTGAAGATGTTTTCCCCATCACTCCCCCTTCTCTGCCAGCTCTAGTTTATCCGGTGCCTCTGAAAAGACACTGCAGAGGGGCTTTGATTCCTCTTCCCTGTGTTTTGGGGACACAGGAACTGCAAACACTGGGCTTTTTGTCCTGCTCCGTCTCCTCTTTCCTTAGCCTGCCCCCATCCTTGTACTTTCATCTTATTGGATAGGGACTCTTCTTCCCACTCAAATCCTGCTCCTCCTAGGACTTAAGCCTTCGCTTACTCTCGCACCAGCATTAGTGTTCTTATAGTAACGCCCATTCCCATCCTGAGGTTGCAGTCATGATGAGCGTGTTCCTCAAAGATTTCCTGGGTCGGCAGAAAGCACTTTTACTACTGACCCTCGGCAGACCTTTGAGATTTTGTTGACTTTCATTCTGATTAGTAAAAACTTCTACCCGTTAATCTGAATACTCTGCTGTGCTTCTAGGTTATGTGCAGAACCCATTATGCCAAGATGTAAGCTGTATAATAAGCAAATAATTCTTTAACTTCCAGAAGTTACAGAACATTAAAAATAGTGTGGCTGGTTGGATTAGATGATCGCTGAGGTTCCTGGGAACCCTCACATGACTGGATGCAGTGGCCTGGACTTGAGTTTAGAGCAGTCTGTGTTTAGGCCCTGTGCAATGGTTTCATCTCCTTAATCCCAAAAGTACTTGTAATAAGAAACTTGGACCGAATTCCCAGGGTCTAGGCCCACCCTGTCATTGGGATGCGAGTGTTTTCCCAACAGTACAACACTGCATTTAAAGAATTTTTAACTTCTCACTATTCCATTCTCACCCATTCCATCATGTCTGAAATTTGCTAGCTTTCAAAATTATAAATGCGGGGCAGGCCCCGTGGTTTAGTGGTTAAGTGCACGCGCTGGGCTGCTGGCGGCCCGGGTTCGGATCCCGGGTGCGCGCCGACGCACCGCTTGTCCAGCCACGCTGAGGCCGAGTCCCACATACAGCAACTAGAAGGATGTGTAGCTATGACATGCAGCTATCTGCTGGGGCTTTGGGGGAAAAATAAATAAATAAATAAAATTATTAAAAAAAAATTATAAATGCGTCATTCTGAGTTCCAATGCTGGCTGTTTTATTGGTTGTGTTGTATTATAAAACTTTCACTTCAGAACTTGGAACTCTCTCAATGATGTTCAAAATTGCCAGTCTTAATGAGTTTCAGGAACACTTGGATCTACAGTACATGTTTTTACTTCCTTCAAGTTCTCGTTAACTTTTAGGCTGAGCACTTAAATGATTATTGCTCCTTCAAACAGTCATGGGTTTTACTTCCTGTTTTTTGTCTGTCCTCTCTCTCTCTAAATCTTTTCCCTTGTTCTCTTTGATCTTGAGTTCTTGATTTTTCAAATAAATTTTGTGTGGTTTGTAAAACCTTTTTATTATATCTGTAGTATGTTTGTTGTTGAAATTAAAAAGAAACCATAAATCACCAATAATCCTGCTACTGAGAGATGATTGCTATTTAGATTTTATTCCTGCCTTTTTAAAAATGTGTGTATATGTACACATACATACCCTTTTTTATACAATTGGGCTCATATTATGTAGAAAGTTTTGAATCTTGCTGTTTTCACTTAGTATTGTAGTTTGAATATTCCTTCATATCAGTGAAAATTATTTGAAAATGTGATGCAATTTTAATAGTTTTAGGGTGTTTTCTATCATGTGGCTCAATAATAGTTTATATAGATGTTTTCTGCCTTCACACAGATTTAATCAAGTAAAGGATGCTGCTTTGCTCATAGTTTCTTAGATGTTCTAGTAACTTCATCACTGTTGGGTATTCTAAAACCATAAATATGAATGATTTTAGGGAAATCGTTTTACTCTTGATTTTAGGGAATAGCTAATAGAAGGAATCCAATCATTTGAGAAAATGGTTTTCCACAGTCATTTAGATATTCAGATTTAAAATAGAGCCCACAGAAGGTGTCTTTTTCAAGAATAACACCAGTTGAGTTGCTTTTTAAAGACTGTAAATTAAATTAAGTAATACAGGGCCTCTGTTAACATACAAGTAGCCAACTTGTTGGGGCCAAGATATCTTGTCTATTGTCTTTTAATATCTCCTATTTGTATTAAAACACCTGGTGGTGTCAGTGGTATGAAGCTTAATGTCAGTATTTTCAGTTAGAAGTTTGTTTCCAGAAGAGTGCTTTGTATTAAAACATTCCTCCTGTCTACATTTTTTTCTTACCTTATCTATTTTTTTATTTAATTTTAATAAATAGGTATAAGATTTTTATAAAGGAATTTTCCTGTTTCAGGCTATTTTTGCTTTTATTTGTAATGTTTCTGTAGCAGCATTTTTTTTTTTTTTTTTAATGTTCAATATCATGGCAAGCCACTAATAATGAACTTGTTGAGCTGGTTTTAAAAAGGTGAATAGGAAAATGAAGATATTGAAAATATTTCTGCTATTTCCCTCGGAGGGTTACAGAAAAGGCATCTTTTAAACCATGTGCTTTTCAGACTCGCTAATCCTGAGGTTTTCAACAGTGTGAAATGGTCCTACAGCACAGTTACAGATCATTTGTAATAATGCTCAAATTGCTAGTTGGAGTGAGCCTGTGCCAAAGGCTAATCATTAACCGTGGTTGATTCGATTCAGTTCCTCCTGTGCTTTTTAGAGGCTCTTTGCCTATGTGCTTGATTCTTCATGGTTATTTGAACCTGGTGTCATGCATTTTTAGTCTTCATTATATTTTTCATATAATGGCAGGAGAATGACTGAAAGATCAATATGATAAAAATGTCTTCTCATTTAGGAAAAGCCCTGAAAACATTAGTCATTCTGAACAACTCAAGGAAAAGGAAAAACAAGGTTTTTTCAGGTCAATGAAAAAGAAAAAGAAGAAATCTCAAACAGTAAGTAGATGGCCAATTTCTATAGACAATGGCATACGAGTCTGCATTAGTCTGTGGGTACTTTACACTTTGTACATGGCAAAGTGAATTGTTTTCTTGTTGAGACTTGACATGCGTACACTGTGTATGTTTTTTTCTTAAATTCTCTATAACTATCCTCCTGTCACAGAGCCTTTTCTAGATTCAACAGAATCTCCAGGAATAGAAGAAATTTAATTTGGATGAGAGAGAACACTTTAAGCATCTCTCAATAAACGTCTTATCCATGTGGATTTATATTCATGCAAAAACTATGAAGCTGCAGGATTTATTTCTCTCTGGGGGTTAAAGATATGCAAAAACTTAGGAAATGGTTTTGGTTTATGTTTAAATCTTGAAATTCATAACTAGCCATCATTTATTATTCTCCCCTGGCTGGTTATCCAATTCCCATGTTGACAAGTGCATTTCTGGGCTGCACAGTCATAGAGAAGAGATAGTATTTGACATTTCAGGGCTTGCTTTAGTAGGAAGACATGTTTGTCCCGTGATTGAACTGTGAAATGGAATGAGTCTTATCTCCTGGGAGCCCTCCGCCTGAATCAGGGCTGGCTCCGTAGAACCATGCCCATCACATCACTTGAACCACCCAAGCAAGGATTCTGCTGGTTAGTGACATGAGAAAACGTGGGGAAGCCGGGCCGCCAGGCCAGCAGGAGCTTCTTCACCCATGTGAGGCCTGCTTCCCCCTTTGCTTTGTGGCACCTTCAAGACTAGACAAGGTTGAGTCAGCCATTTTAAATGATTTTGTTTCTAGTTTTATTTCATACATGATTGACTCTCATTTGTTTAAAAAGGAAAAAGCCATAATCAAAATGGCCTGCTCGGATGGACTTCATTGATTTCATCTGTAAGATGGGTAGATTAGACTCAGTGTTTCTGAAGTCCATTCTATTATGAAAATTCTAGGATTTTGACTCAATGGTAAGTAAAGATGAGATAGATGATAGTTGCAAAGAATATAATACCTAAAGTAAGAATTTTTATCTCACAGATGTTCTAGAAGTATTAATAAAGACCTTACTAGATTACCTTTCTAGATTATTCTTTCACTTGCTTGTTTGTTAAATTTATGTGTTTCATTATAAAATATGAGCTCATTATAGAAAAATTGAGGAAAAAAATGATCATTTCTAATCTTACCACCCTATCACAACTAGTAGTAGGATTATGGTGTATTTCCTCCTAGCTTTTTAGCCTGTGCATATGTTTGGGAAAGAAGGTGGTTATTTAGTTTGGTTTAAATAATAGTGATCATTCTAGTACAATTTTGTATTCTGGCTTTTAATAGTAGTTCTGTCTCTCTATCACACATACACCCATACACACAATATGTATGTTACTACATAAATTTTATCATCTTCATTTTAATGGCTGCATAATATTCCTGAAATGTTCATTAAAAAAACAACTGCCTGTATCTCTAACTGAAACTCACTTAAAGCAGGATATCAAATCAAAATGCCACTCAATCAAATATTACTACATTTGTTATTTAGACTGGATGAACAAAATAGACCTGATTTAAAGTAGAGAAGCTTAGGGGCAGCTGGGTGGCGTAGTGGTTGGGTTCTCGCATTCCACTTCGGCGGCCCAGGGTTCGCTGATTCAGATCCTTGGCGCAGACCTACTCACCACTCATCAAGCCATGCTGAGGTGGTGCCCCACATAGAAGAGCTATAACTCTACAACTGTGGCACACAACTATGTACTGGGGCTTTGGGGAGAAAAAAGAAAGAGGAAGATTGGCAACAGATGTTAGCTCAGGGCCAATCTTCCTCCAAAAAAATTAATTCATTAAAAATAATAAAGTAGAGAAGCTTAAAATATTTAACGTGCTAATCAAATAAACATTTTATCATTGTCTATAGAACATAGTTCTCCATCATGAACATTAAATTAGACCGCCTCCTCCTAACTGCTATTATTTTGATTTTGAGGTTTTTGTTTTTGTTTTGAACCTCAGGCCTGTAGCCACTGTGGGCTGATTAAGTGGAAGAAAGTAGCAAGAACCAAGGGAGTGAAGGTGTTGTGTGCATAGATTTAGCTTTTGCTGTCTGTCTGCCTTAGACCCATGTTAGACCTCACGCCCCTGGCTCGCTCTGGCCTGAGTCGAGTATATACATGTTGACTGACTCTATTTTTCAGGATCAAGTTCAAATTTTAGATGTTTAAATAGTATAGATTGGAGTAAATAAGAAAATTACTATTCTCTAACATCCTCTCCACTTGAACTTACTCTTTTTTAGGTTTTCACAAGTTTCATTTTTGATATGTAAAGTAACTGCCAAAATATCTCTGCACAGGCCACAATGACTTAAGCCTTCCAAACCAAAAGTTGTTTATATCTCTGCATTTTTTAATTAAAGGAAAAAAAAAATCTTTAAAGGACTTTGGTATCTAGAGTAAGGTTTCCAAAGAGCACTCAGTATATCCTGCCAGACCTCAGGCTCTTAAGCCTGACATTGTGTTAACTCTGTCTACTTCGAATAAGCATTCAAACAGAAGTAAAGTTAGCTTTTTTTCACTCTCTAGAACTCAGCAAAAGAAAACTAGGTAAACGAGGTTTGAAAGATTTAAAGCGTTGCGGCTTTTGCATGAGATTCAACGAAGTGGAAATCTGACGCCCAGCGCACATAGAGAAGCAGGACATTTTAAAGCCTCCGAGGGTCCTAAATCTAGTTTAACTCCTTTATTTCACTGCTGTAGGAACTGCCCAGGCAAGTTGTGACCTACCTGAAGTCGCACAATCAGTTGGGTGAACTAGAGGTGGGTTCTCCTGAATAGCAGGCCCAGGCTCAGTCCGTGCCACAGGCCCACTTGTGTGGAGAGCCTCCGGCTGCTTGTTTCTGGGCTCTCTTGTGACCTCTGTGCTGATGCAAGTTAAACTCTGCCCTGAGATCCCTGTCATGGGAACAGGAAACTTTCTGGGCTGTTGTACTCAAATGTCTTCGTACACATACCCGTAAAAGATGATCTGAATCCCTCATATACATTCTAGTTCTGACAATTGAGATATCCAAAACAGGGAAAAGTGGTGCCAAAAAATAATTCTGTATTGTAAAGGTGCCTGCTTTGACTCAAGCAAATCTGGAAGCCGTCTTGGGAAATCTGGCTTCAGTTCCATATCCAGAGAGTTACGTAAGCCCTCAGAGCATATGGTGACTTTGCCAACTTGGTAATTGTACCCTAGTTAGTATCTTAACTGGAATCATGCTTCAGTTTAAATATTGAACTTTCTGTTTCTTCACTTTGAAAACCCATATTCTGAATTGCGGCAGATATTTTCCACGTGGTGAATATTTCTAACAGTGTAGAACCAGGCTTCTTCCTCAATGGTAGAATCCTGCAACAGTGATACTCCTCTTCCAAGTGACGTTTTCTGGTTCAAGAGTTGACCATGTTCAAAAGGGTTTGCAGTATCTTTTTCTTTTTTTTTTCCTACTAGGCAGAATTATGGTAGATTATTTAGTTGCTGAAGTCCTCTCTAGCAATTAGGAAAAGATTGAAATTCATCAATAGCTCTTTAAACACATTCTTTATAATAATCATATTTCTGATAATAAATCCTTAAATGTTTTTTAAGCTTAATGTGAATAGATGTGTGTAGATCTCTAGGCATTCCTACTATAGGTATGGATCACGACCACATGTTCTTTATATACATGGAAGTTTGTGCGTGTCTTGAATTTACATTGTTGGCATCTTCATATCCAGGTGAGAAATGACACAGAACCCCTCTAGATACACACACAGCACAGATTCTTCCAGTGACTGTTAATATTTCACAATTTGAGGGCTTCCAAGGGCTAGGAGTTTCATAAGAACACCTTTTTTTTTTTTTTTTTTGCAATTAGTTTATTTGTATCTTATGTTGCAGACAGATTCCACCAACGGGGAGAATCCAAGCATCAAGAAATCCCTCTTTCCTCTTTTTAATTCAAAGAATCATTTAAAGCATAGTTCTTCTTTGAAAAAGCTTCCTGTAGTCACTCCACCCATGGTACCCATTTTTACGTATGGTAGCCCTGAAAACTGCTCCAGTAAACTTGTTTTACTGATGACAACAGCATGTCTTTTATTTTCATGGGGTCATATTCTCTTTGTGCTAGTTAAGTACCTGAGCCAGTTCCATAAATTCACCGAGATATCAATTCTTTGCCATTCTGGATTTTCTGAATCAGTTAAGGAGGTTGACACATCAAAGGCTATTATTGAACAAACAAACTAGCGAAAGGCTAGCTTGGGTTGTCTGATTAGCCAGTTGTCAGCAGACAGCATTCATAAAATCCCTTATTTCCTGTAAAGAATTTGATTAACATTTACAATTAACAGATGTCTTTTCGTTTGGCTCCCAAAGTTTATTAACACTTGGTTGGCAGTTTGTTTCTTTGAAACCAAGTGGAATTGACCAAATTGAGTGAGCTAGCAGGCTCCATGAAAAACAGCTTCTGTTAGTTGGTGATTTGCTCTTTCCTTGCCTGGTTCTAGTTTTTGCTGGTCACTTAGTTTAAAGCCAGAGCTTTTGCTTGGCATTTGGCATTACTCTCCTGTGTTCACCAAAATTGGTGAATGGACCAATTGCATTCGTTTAGAATTCATGCCACAGATTTCCAGCATTTTCATAGTGCATAATGCTAGACCCAGATTTACTGGGCAGTGTCTTGGGAATCTGATTCAAACCATACTTTCCCACTTCGCTATCCTTGAAAAACCTGCTAGACTTCTTTGACACCACCAAATACAGCGTTTGGATCACTTTCCCAGCAGAAACAAATTTTTGTTTTATTGAACTGGTTCATAACCTAACTGCAATATGGAATGAGGATACGACAGCAATTCCTGGTACAGCCCAATTTAACTGCTCTCTCTTACAGCGACTAAAACTAACAGCATGGGAATGCTTTAAGGTTGAGGTTTTAACAAAGCTGCATGACATCTGCCAATTTTTCCTAATGCGGGGAAAATTATTAAGAGGGCAGTAGAACTTAACTAGCATCACTTGCATTGTGAACATCGGGAGAATTTTGGTTTCCTTTTTATTGGGTCCTTTTTTTTTTTGAGTTTTGGTTTGATTTGCTTTTGTTCTCCTCTTGGGTGTAGTTGTATATCTTAATTAGGCTTATTGGTGTGCTTATTGAATCCTTGTTCATGTTCTGCTCTAGGTGCCCAATTCTGATGGCCCCGATCTTCTGACATTACAGAAAGCCATTCACTCTGCTAGCACTCCGAGCAGCAGACCAAAGGAGTGGCGTCCTGAGAAGATCTCTGATCTACAGACCCAAGTGAGTGGTGCTTGCATCACTCCTAGGCTCTCAGACTCTGCAGTGACCGGCTCTCCTGAGGGGAGGGCAGGGTTGAGAAACTTAGCCTCTCAATGTTACGACAAGGCTGAGAGCCTCCCTATATTATACCCTCACTAATAGCCAGATGCATCTTAGGAGTCCAGATGAATCTTGCTTCAGTGACCATGTCCTACAGGAGATCCATTAGCCTTCACCTAGCTGGGGGGTTGGAGAGGATTAACAGGGGATGATTAAGACATCCCAGCCCACAAATACTCTGCAACCTAACAGAGAAAATCCATAAATAACCATAATTCATGGTAAAAAGTGAGGCGTGCCATAAAACGTAGGGGAGAGTGAGAGGAGGTAGTGGGAAGACTAAGGTTTCATTGAAGGTGGTAGCGTACGAATTGTGCCTTGAAAGACAGATATGACAACCTTTCTTGAAAGAATACTTAAACTTCTGAAATCCATACTATTTTTGATGCAAAACTGGAAAACAGTTGCATTAGGAGCTGTATGTTAGACAGTATTGTATAATCACGTTTATTTGCCGTAGTGGGGGAATGAGCAGAAATTGAATCAGTAAATTTTTCAGGTAGCTGAGGTTTATCTCCTTTGAACAACTATTTTGATTAGAAATGTTTTAATATTGTATCTTTTCAATATCCCATAATGAGCACAGTAACATAATCTAACTTATTTTTTGATCATATTCAATATTTTATAAATCCATTATTCTCCTATACTATAATTTCTGACAACCCTCATGGGCTTTTGAGGCTGTACAGTTACTGGTGCCTATAAATGACCATAGATTTCTGTGATTTGGAGGAGAGTCTGTTTTTATAGGATCGTTGTTTACTTTCTTTAACTGTAAGGTGTTACTTAGAGTTGCTCAGGAGTTTCCCAAATTTCGATTGTATTTGCCCAACCATTTATAGTTTCTGCTTCTAACATAATGGGGGGTGGAGAGGATGTAGAGAACCAGATATCCAAGTTATTGGATATGTATAGGAACTAAGAGCACAAGGCTCTGAGCGAGGGCCTGATGTTCTGTTCCCAATTTACAAAAAAAGAATATGGGGCTTTAGAACTTTCTTTGTATAGCCATTTCTTTTGCCAAGAAGCTCTTTTCAGGTAATTTTCTTTCCAGCTGAACCCAGGTTATTGTAATTGCTTAATAGTTACATGTAGTCAGGGCTACAAAAATCACCAGGAATCTCATTATATTATCATACCAATTTCATTTAAAAAAAAAACAGCAAAGAACACACTTTTGAGCATTTATGGTGTGCAGTGTACTATGCCACCTCCGATGGGGGCCACAAAGCTTTCTTGGACAGACTTTGGAATGGCCATGGAGGATGCTTCCCCAGGAGCAATTTCTACTTGAGTCAATTCTCAAGCAGTTTCCCTTGGATTTCAGTGCCCTCTTCCTTCAAATCTTGCAGTGTTCGTTGAGATCGTCAACGAACTCATTAAAACTTTGCTGAGCCCTTGGATGCATGGCCCTTGAAGATTGGCAGCCAAAGGTGCCCCAAGGCTAGGGCTGCAGCCTGAGTCCCATTGTCCCCGGTGAGGGCCTTGAATTTCAGAGTCCTTTAGCATGCCTCTTCTGTGGGGAGCCCGCAGGGCAGATGGCTTCCAAGACCCTCCCTTCTGCCTTGAGACACAGTCCCCCTCCACAGTACAACACCCAGTGGGGCCCAGGCATCAGCCACATAGCAGACAGGCCCATGTTAGGAATGGAAGGCCTCCTGTGTTTTAGGGTCTGTAGGGCTTTTGCTTGTTTCTCTGTGCTTTGCATTTTTTAACGCCCAAACCTTACCTTCCTCCTGCCGCAAAAAAAATGAAAACAAAAACCAAAAAAAGTAAAAGTGCAGAAAGGGAACATTCAGATTTTGCAATGTCAAGGGAAAAGGGGACTCAGAGAGATAAGAACAGAAAGGGATATACAATTTTTAGCTGAGTACGTTGCTACCTAATTGAAACATTACATTTTTTCAGTTTCTCTTGCAGCTAGATGTGGTCGTATGGCTGAGTTCTGGCTGGTGAAATACAAGTGGCAACTTTACGTGAAGCTGTTAGAAGGTCTTCTCAGAGTGATGGGCATACCCCTTCTAGTGCTTCTTCCTGCTGCTTGAAGCACGAGATCCCAGTAAAGCTGGGCTGCAGCCAGGTAGAGGGGCTAGGCCTTTGATCAGCCACCACACCAGGTCCAGATTTCTCGTCTAGACTTCTAGGCTTTTTCACTAAAAAAAAAAACTTTGGTCTTATCTGAAAAGAACAAAGGAACAGATAAGGCTGAACTAGCTCCTCCTCTCCCATGGCAGCCCTCCCTGGCTACATGCAGTCCTCTCAGATCTCCCTTCCATCTCCCCCTGGCTTTGGAGTCTACTCTAAATTAAATCCTCCATGTACTCTCATCTTTTCTTTCAGAACCAGCCATTAAAATCACTGCGCAAGCTGTTACATCTCTCTTCAGCCTCAAATCACCCGGCTTCCTCAGACACCCGCTTCCAACCCTTAGCAACTCAGCAAACCAAAAATTCCTTCTCAGAAATTCGGATTCACCCCTTGAGCCAGGCCTCTGGCGGGAGCAGTAACATCCGGCAGGAGCCCACACCAAAGGGCAGGCCAGCCCTCCAGCTGCCAGGTCAGATGGACCCTGGTTGGCACGTGTCCTCTGTGACCCGGAGTGCCACAGAGGGGCCTTCCTACTCTGAACAGCTGGGTGCCAAGAGTGGGCCAAACGGGCACCCTTATAACAGAACAAATCGGTCCCGAATGCCAAATCTGAATGATTTAAAAGAGACAGCCTTGTAATGTGTGCTGGGTGGGTGGGTGGGTGGGGAGACGGGGGGGCAGGGGGGCGAGGGACAGCACAAGCCAGTTGGGAGGGGAGGGGAGGGGTGGGATGGTTGGGGAATGGGCTGGTCCCGGGTGGTAAGCCAGTATTTTCAGCTTTATGAAGGTGTGTGCAATATTGTATGTGTGGAGCTCTGGCTCCTCACGGCCACAAATGCTAGTCAGGGATCTTAGAGCCACAGGAGTTCCTTAGGGATTGCCAGTCCCCACGGGTCTTTCGTGAGAATGGATAGAGTGTGCCATTGAGGAATAAGACATTCTTGCCAGTTTCTCCCCCTTACTTTCCAGCTTTAGTGCAATCCCTGTTGAACTTGGGAAAGCCAGGACATGTTCTGGCGCTGCAAGGGATAGAAGAATTTGTGTTGACCGATGCCCTCACCACAGATTTTTTTCTGCCTAGACTAAATGTGGGGTTTATTGTAATCCAAGAGTATCCCTTTGAAGGGTTAGCAGATGAACTAACTGTATGTCTTAAATTGTTTTCTAAACTTCCATATTTGATAGGATTTGTAACATTTATTTATAATTAATTAATATTGTACTGTTATAATCATACCTTTTATGTTAAATGTAAAGTTATTTTGAGCTGTTTGGAACATTGTGAAGCAGTGGGACAGCTACAGTAGTTTCTATAAAAACTAAACAGTAACATTTATATATTGCATCAGGAGTATTTTATTCTATATATAAATATATATATATGGTAAATATCTGTCTGTTTTATAAATATAATCATTTAAAGAAAGTATCGTTATGACACTATCTGCCATATTTTTATACATTTGTGATATGAAGTGAGTATTATACTTCTAATCAAGGGAGTTTAATTGTGGCTATATGTGACTGTAACAGTAGGAACCTTGCTCAACCTTTAGGCTCCAGCAGTAGCCTCCAGACATGATCCTTGTTAGCAGATGAGATGCAGCGTTTCTTTCTGACCCAAAGTTGGCTAGGCCAGTGAGAACTCCAGAAGGCCTCATCTCTGTCCTCACACAGTTGACTCTTGTTCGTGTCCAGGGACGTTCCTTGCACCTGAGGGGAGAACAGATCCAAGGTTACTCATGGGTCTTCATAGAGAGAATATGCTCTTCTACTTAGCATTAGCAGAGAGCATAAACCAAAGATTTGCCAATGAACATTCCTAGTTGCGAGGTTGTAAGAGGCACCTGTCTGCACATCTGGTAAACCAGCTCTATGCTTCTGAATCCTGTGCACTGTACCGGAGACTCTTGGTTGGTGTGCTGTGAGATACATGTGTGGCATTTCTATTTCTAAATGCTTTTTTTGTTATTGCTCTTTCCAGTATATTTAAAAGGCCCCTGAAGCAATTCCAGATGTAGAGAAAATTCTATACCCATTTTTTTCTTCCTGGGACTGTCCATTTATACCAAGGTTATCATGCACATAATACACACACATGGTCAGACAGAACAGGACTCATCTTTCCCTCATTTGATCTCCTTCAACTCCCAAGTTACTCCCAAATGTCATCAAGGCCTTTGGCCAACAAGGGTTATAGCCCCGTGTCTCTGGGCCATCCTTGACAGAAATCAGCTCAACACCATCATCCATCAAGAATATTAGATTTTTAGAAGTAGTCTCTTAGCAATAATATTTTTAAAGATTCCCTCCCACCCCACAAAGAGGTAACTTTTCGGTATTTCTGACTTGTCCCAGGATTCTGAGAGTGTCAGCCCCGGAATCACGTCAGCTGTAATTGAAGTGTGCTGAGTTACTGTTCCCCCTCCCCCAGATTTTGAGAATCATAGCGCTGATGATTATGAAGATTATAAAGAAAGAGGTCTTAGTTTCCTTGAAGCTTAAATTGTGTGCATATTGCATTTTTATATAACTACTATAATGATGTGTATTGATTATATATAGAGGTCATTTTAAGGTGCTTTTTATTTAATTTTAATAAGTGTGATAGGCACTAAAATGAAACTCAACTGGGTACTATCAATCATTGAAACGATTTGATTCTAACCAATAGTTTGCATGCTCTTCAGTTCTTTTTATATCTTGTGTCTTTCACCAGTTCAGTACTGTTCGAGTAGCTCTGACTTTTGGCTTTTCCCAGGCAGCTGCTCAGTTATATAAGTGGTGTGGACCCCTAGCAGTTTTTGCCTGGATACTAATGACTCTAAAAGGGTGTGTAACTCTTCTTTTTCATACTAGATCTGTACCTTGTATTCCCCCTTGCAAACCAGAAACTACATTTTTTCCTCTGGAATGACTTCTCACTGTGCTGTGTGCTTAGGAACTGCGCAGTCACATTGCCATACTGTGGCATTTGAGGCTCGTTGTCACCTAGGGGCTGGTTTCCCATGTTTTCATCCTTGCTAACACTGGGATCTCAGATGTTATGCAGAACATTTATGTTTATGATGGTTCTTCAAAGAAGGGCTAGAATAATTGCCTTCTACCTAGAGCAAAGTAAACCTAACCGATGAAGAGTCAATACGTACTTTTCGTACATTCCCAGATTTGAGCCGGAAAATATCTACAGTGTTTTCAACTGGTGTTTTTGAGGTAGCTCTTTTATCCTCTTCTCAGCTTTCGTCCATTCTGACTTTTCATTGACCTCGGTAAGCTATAAGTGAACTACAATCCGCATTTCTAGCATGGATAATTCTCTTCTTCTCGTAGAGGGGAATGGTAAAGTTTTCTCTCAAATCTAATGGGCTTTCTCTTAGTTTTTAACTGTTGTTTTCCTCTGGTTGATGAATTGTTGACCTCACAAAGATTACCATCCATGACAAGAAGGACTTGATTTAAAGTCAGAAAAGTCTGCATTTTCTTTAGGAAGGGAAATTTGTGATATCCATATTCTATTATCTGCCCTAACTTCCTAAAGGATAAAAAGGCTGAAGGAAGGCTTATTAATTACTTTGTTTTGTGGAAGTATCACTGATCTCCTTTTGAAAAGAAACTCTGCTTTGCTGTTTTTCTGCTTTTGCTTTACTACCATCCTCATTTTTCTTCTTAGAAGTTCTAAATGAATTTTTACTGAACCTTGTTTGGTCTCGATCTGAGGTTTAGCCTCTCTCCAGAATCCAAGACCAAAAGTGCTCCATGCTAAGGGGCTCAAGTGAGCTGTGTCTACAGCAGTGGTTCTCAACCAGGGCCAATCTTGTCTCCCGGGGACATTTGGCAATATCAAGAGACATATTTGGTTGTCACAACTGGGGCTGGTGCTGTGCTACTGGCATCTAGTGGGTAGAGGCCAGGGAGGCTGCTAAACATCCTACATGCACAGGACCCACCCCCACCACCCCTCAAATGAAGAATGATCCAGCCCCAAATATCAGTAGTGCTGAGGTTGAGAATCCCTGCTCTACCATATTCCAAGCCCAGCAGTCTGCTGAGTTCGGCCCTGTCCTTGTTCTCTCCAGGCTACGAAACTGCATCAGTCAGTGACTTCTTCAGCATCAGTCTTCTACCACTCTTCTTGAATCCCTGGAATCCTATCGCTCGTTTCCATCGTCTTGGGCCTGCTAAAATATACATCCTTCGAGAGGAGACCAGAGTTACTTTATAGGTGTTTGAGAACTTAAATTCTAGGTCAGCATCCTTAGAAAATCTTGCATAGAGCCATGAGGCTTATATTTAGAAGTAAGCAGCAGCCTAGCAGATTGGCATGATTTTTACCAACTGCTCAAAGGTATCCATGGGTTTTAGCTGTGTCTCCCAAAAGAAAATGTCTTTGTTTTTTATTCAAGTCATTTAATAGCTCTTTACAAATAATGGCATACGACAGACCGATTAGAAGCAAAAAATTCTTTATTGGTGGTTGTGATGTGGCTGTTATAGGAGTATTTGTGCTGTACGCTTTGGTTAATCTGTTTTAAACCATGCTTTAAGATGCACCATATACGGTTGTACTGTAATTCTCGGCTCAGAGCTACGCTGGTTAGTTTCTAGTCACGTCATGTATTATAAAGTATGCTGTGGTTATAGAGTTAGCCAGTTAAGCATGTTCTTAACCTGAAAATTAGTGGACTTTGCTAGGAAATGCTATCCCATTTTCCCTTCCCAGCACCTCTTAGTTAACGTTAGTATCCTCAATTCTTAAACTAGTTTTTAGAGTAAATAAGGAAAAAAGCCATTTATTTTCTTCTAGCTGTGTATTGAGAATGACTCATAAGTGTACAGCTTTTCTTAAAGGCCAGAGGATTACTTTCCAAGTTTGTAGAAGGCTCCGTCTATTTCTGTTCACCTAGGTCCTGGTGGTGACCCAACTTTCAGCAAGGGCGATCGCTCATTGCGACTTATTCCTAGAGCTCAGCTGGGACTCAGCAATCTGCGTATTCTCTCCTGGTCAGAACATTGTTTTCTGGAGAGCACTGCTTTTCTATCTAGAAGTTTGTTACCTCCTGCATTATAGTGGGATATTGCGCTCCCTGTGAGCACTAAGATCCATAGACTCATCCTTTTGTGAACTGGGAATGTGGTATGATACACTGAACCAAGTCCGAAAATATTGAAATATTTCCTCGCCTCCTTCAGTTCATCACTAATAAAGTGTGTAGGCAGAGAAAACTTATTCATAGTTAAAAAAAAATGGTTTCTTTCAAAGGGGCTGCAGAAAAGACAGTACAAATGTTTTAAGTGTCCTGTCGCCAATCCCCAGGGCCAGAATCTCACAAGAAGTTTCTCTCAGAGACTTAAAGGGCCAACTTACAAAACAAAAACTTGTAAGTGGTTCTGATTTCTTCCTTGTGCATCTTGACCAGCTGAGATATAGAATATCTTGTGGTCTGATTCCACTGGGTAACAAATTCTGTCTTAGAAACCATGAGTAAATGCAAGAAAATGAAGCCGTGACAGGATGAGTCTCTCGTCTGTCTGTATACACACAATGTGGTAGAAGTAAGGTGGCTAGGAAACTCTGGGCCTGCTGCCCTAGAATATTCTATTTCTTCTTTTTTAATCAAATGTACTATAAAAGATCATAGACTTTTGTG